ATAGTAGCTCGGTGGCGTAGTGGATATGCGCCGCAACCCGCGATCGTTGTCGTTAAGCAACTTTCGCTTGGGTCGGTCACGGGATGGGTGACCGAAACATTATTATCTCGAGCTACACCGTGCTTCGGAGGCACGTTAAGTCGTCGGTCCCGGCTGCATTTGCAGTCGTTAATACCCTCCAATCCGCATTGGGCCAGCGTGGAGGGTCATGGCCCGTCCTCCTTAACCATCCATAAGGAAGGCCCGAGCCCCTGCAGTGGGGACGTAAAAGGGCTGGTGATGATAAGAAACTAATTAATAATGTCCCAAGATTAAATTGTCAAGAAAAAGTCATGTCAGCTGCGATTATATATTTTAATAATTTAAGTGCCTGAGTCATAATTTAAGAAATAATTACACTTGAATAATTATTTTTATTAAGTATATTTACAGTGTCTTCATAGATCATGATGAAAATTATAATAAAAATAATATTTTTTTCGTTTTAGAGCGGCGGATTGTTCGGCAGCAAGCCGGCGACGTCCGGTTTCGGCGCGACATCCACCGGCGGTTTCGGCGGTTTCTCCGGCGGCGGTTTGTTCCAGGCAAAACCTCAACAGACCGCTCCAGCGTTCGGCACCGCTCAACCTGGTGTGTATTATTAACCTGTTGTTTATAATTTTTGGATTAAGGCTCTCTTATACTTCCGCTTATGTTCCTTTACAAATATGTATCGAGATTTCATACATTTTTAATTGCAGAAAAAAATAATAAAAACAAATTATTTTTATTATTTTAGATTATATCAAAACCTATTTTTGTATATACAACGTGTCCCAAAATTCAACGATAAGCGGGCGCTAAGAGGTACCCTTGCTCATATGTACTTATGGAAAAATAAGAAAAAAATTATATCTTATCTTTTTTATTATAAAATTAAATTCGAAAATCTTCGAAAATTTACACCTTTTATGATATTTTCAACTACCACGACCACAACTTCTCAATTATGTTCAATCTTTTTTTGGTATCGGATACCTAAGTAGTACTTATATTCGCTACAACTGTTAAAAACACCAAAATGCCCACAGAATTTACACAAAAAACAATCAAAATGTATTTCTTTCCTCAAGTTTTCACAGATTTTTACGTTCCGTAATCTTTGACTCACAGTCATGTAGAAAAAAAGTATGGACACTACTGCGGCAAGTTGTTTTTAAAATTGACGCAGCTCATGAAGATTCCATAATGGTATAAAGATTATTAAAGATATAATTTTTTTCTTATTTTTCCATAAGTACACATGAGCAGGTATACCTCTTGGCGCCCGCTTATCGTTGAATTTTGGGACACGTTGTATATATATATGTAAGATTTTGTATATACTGAGATTTAGTATTTGTAATTAAAAGTACACGACAACTCGAAAAACAGTAAAGAAAATATACTACAAAAATTTGCTCAAATACATATGGCATTAAATTAGTTACATAAAAAAATTACAACTTTCATTATAACTGCTATAAACATAAACGCACAAATAACAAAGATTCCCCTGACGTTCATACGTTTTCCCCTACGATACTAAACTGTGACGTCACATTTTAATCTGCATTCGTAGGGACAAACACAGCGCCGTATCTCCTAAACTATTAATCGCAGACACGCTGTTGCTTCTACGTTATTACTCAGATATTAATGGACTATTTATTTATAAAATAAAAAAGAAAAGTTGTCAACTAGCCTATTATCATTTTGAAAATAGACGGATTTGGTTTTAAGATAAACAGAATAGGCTCTCCGGTGTCATATTGGAGACTATTTTGGAACACTGAACTGAAATTAGAAATTGTTACCACATAATATTGTTAATGGAAAATTGATCAATGTGTTACCACACGTTAAAATAAATGAAATTTTGATTTGATAATGTTGCCAGCGTTCGGGAGTCTGTCCACCGGTTTCGGCACGGCGACGTCCACGTCGGGTGGATTGTTCGGCGGCGCCAACACTACATTCGGCAAGCCTGTGGCGCCATCTTTCGGCTTCTCACAGCCACAACAACTATGTGAGTATAGCTACTTTTCAGCGACTTTTTACCATACACTTTTTTTTTGTTTATTTAAATTTTTGTATTTCTACCATACATCTCAATACATTTCTTTTCTTTATTTTTCTATTACATTCCTTATATTTATATCTACTCATCTCTATATTCTATCAGTTACAATCCTTGTTATCTCCTTTGTCTTTATACATCTACTTTTTTTATTTATATATGTTATTTTATTATTTATATAAAGTTACTTTGAGCAGCATTTCTAACGAATATTTATTTATTCGTTCCATTAAATACTGATAGGTTCAAACTAATACATTTACATCCTCCATCATCCCTTATTTTATCCCAATGGGGGTTGAATTTATCAAAATCCTGTTTATGCGGACGTCTTCATTATAGAAGCTCCAATCTTTAATTTCAGTTCAATCAGTCGAAAATCTAAGAAGATTTATACAAACTTTCATCCCCTATTTTATCCCCTTAGGGGTAGAATTTATTAATATCCTTTCTTAGGGGTTGCCTACGTCATAGTAGCTTTATGCATGCAGTCTCAGCCCGATCGGTTTAAAATTGACAAAGTTTCATACAAACTTTCATCCCCTATTTTATCCCCTTGGGGATGGAATTGTTCAAAATCCTTTCTTAGCGTATGCCTACGTCATAACATCTACCTGCATGCCAAATTTCAGCCCGATCCGTCCAGTGGTTTGGGCTGTGCGTTGATAGATCACTATGTCAGTCAGTCACCTTTGAGTTATATATATTTAGATAGATTAGAATAGTTTTTTTTTTATTGTTAACATTACTCAAAGTTACATTTACAAATTTAAAACAGTTTTACAAAATAACGTAACAATTGGCGGCCTTATCGCTTAAAGTGATTTCTTCCAGGCAACCATGGGATGGAAAGAGAGATAACAATTTATGAAGACTGGGGTGTTAATGTTATCAATTACATTAAAAAGAAAATATGTTCAAATAATCTTTATTAAAAATAAAGAACAAAACATGTGAATACACACAAAATACAAATATATACGATAAATACGTAATATACATGCACACATACATACAACTACACAGATAAACTTAAATATATATACGAGGGTCAAACTGAAAGTTCTTAGAACTGGCCACTTATAAACAATATAATAAAAAAATAATTCTAAAATTTGAAAATATAACTCTTTGCCAATATTACTGAGTATATATTTCATTCATTTGTCATTTGTTTTACGATTTGGCGGCAAATTGAAAATTGTCTGTGTCACGTCATCATGAATTTAACACGAGAAAATTTTCGTGCAATGATTTTTTATGACTTTCGATGTCATTTAAGTCAACAAGAAAGTTATGATAGACTACGATTGGCCTTTCACGATGAAGCCCCATCTCGTGCGACTGTTTACAACTGGTTTAATGAGTTTAAACGTGGTCGCACTAATCTCACTGATGATTTACGTGAGGGACGGCCTTCTACGGCGACGACTGAAGATAACATCTGTGTTGTGCGGCGTATGATAGAGACTGACAAAAGAGTGACCTATCAACAGATTCGGACAAGCTTAGGCATCGGTATGAGTCAAGTGCACAAAATCCTCCACGAACATTTAGCGGTCAGGAAGCTTTGCGCCCGGTGGATACCTCATAATTTGACTGAGGCTCAAAAACTCCATCGTGTGGATTGGTGTCGTAAAATGATTGAAAGATTTAACGGAGGTGACTCAAATGCTGTGTTCGACATACTAACAGGTGACGAAAGCTGGATTTACTGTTATGATCCTAAAACCAAAAGACAATCTGCTCAGTGGGTGTTTCCTTTCGAGGAGTTGCCAACTAAAGTGAAGAGAGATCGAAGTGCGGGAAAAAAAATGGTGGCCTCGTTCTTTGGAAGGATAGGTCATTTTGCAACAATTGTGTTAGAGGATCAAAAAACAGTTTCTGCAGAATGGTACACTACCAATTGTTTGCCACTTGTCTTGGAAAAAGTTCGAGAGAAACGACCTCGCAGTAGGATCCTCCTTCACCACGACAACGCCTCGTCGCACACCGCCAAGCGAACGATCGACTATTTGGCGACATCAAACGTTGAATTACTGGGTCACCCGCCGTATAGCCCCGACCTCGCGCCTTGTGATTTTTATTTATTTCCAAAAATTAAAGAAAAACTTAAAGGAAAGCGGTTTATGAATGCTGAAGAAGCGGTGGCTGCGTATCGCGATGCCATTGAAGAGACCCCTAAGGACGAGTGGGCAAAGTGCTTTTCCCAGTGGTTCCATCGCATGCAGCGGTGTATTGACGTGAATGGACAATATTTTGAAAAGATATAATAAAACTAATAACTGGCTAATGTAATCAGTTTTTGATTTTCTAAGAACTTTCAGTTTGACCCTCGTATACACATATACATCATGCAATACCAGGAATAGTTGTACTAGGCAGTAGCAGGATATTTCATTGTGAAAGGTAGTATTACTTTACGCAATTTTTAAAAATTTCCAAAGATTTCTCTCGCCTTATCGAAACTGGAAGGGAATAGGGATGACGACTAATTTTTGTTTGTTTGTCCGTCAGGTAGAGTGTTTAAAAATATTAAACACGTATTTTTTTATTTTTTTCGTAATCATAAAATTACGGCGTAACAATGAGTTGAAATTTCGCATGACGTCACGTTATGGTACGTTTTCTACTCAACTGTGACGTAGCGAGCCCCCACTCCTCAACTTTAATGCATGTTATATAAGCTATTTCTTGTTAAATTGGAATAAAAAAAAATACGTATCTAATATTTTTCTATTATCTGACTGACGGACTAAATAGAATTGCATTTTTTTTACCCAGGCGTCATCCCTATTCCAGAGACGGGCAGCTTGTATATATTTAGATTTATTACACTGTTAGTATTATTTTACTTCATCTATATTCTAATACTGTTTGTTATCCCTTAGTGGGTGCAGGTATGGGTACGGGATTGCAAAATAATCAGCCGAAACCAACACTGGGGGGCTTCGGCACATTAGGCGGAGGCGGTGGAGGGTTGTTCCAACAGCCTCAACAGAATAATATGTTCAGAACTGGTCAGTATATACCCGGTCTCTGGATTGAGTGTTTAAAGCCCTTTTTACTTCCCAACTGCAGGGTTCAGGCCTTCCTTATGGATGGTTGAGGAGGATGGGCCATGACCCTCCACGCTGGCCCAATGCGGATTTGAGGGTATTAACGACTGCAAATGCAGCCGGGACCGACGGTTTAACGTGCCTTCCGAAGCACGGAGTAATAGCTCGAAGCTTGAGATAATAATTTTTCGGTCACCCATCCCGTGACTGACCCTTGCGTAAGTTGCTTAACAACAGCGATCGAAATAGATAACGGATTACGAATAGCGGGGTAATTAATCAACTGCTGCATAATAAGGATGATGACTAATTTTTGTATGTCTGTCCTTACTACATTTCGCACTTACTACATTTATACGCCACCGAGCTACATTTCAATTTCAGTTTTTTTAATATGTTAGTTAAAAGGAATGGAAATGACCGTCTTTGGTCCATTTGTTTCCTTCAAAAATCAACTTTTGCTAGAGTCGCCATCTATTGGAGGTGCTTTTTATTTCGTTTTTTTTTTTAAATACTTCGTCATTGCATTAAAAGGGTTTTGATTTATTTGTACGTTACAGACAGCGGTTTAGGCAGTGGATTATTCAGCGGGAACACGACATTGGGCGCTCCATCTTTGGGCTTGGGTCTGAACGCGAATAATACGTCTTTGAACAAGTGAGTTGATATTGTTTTGTTACAAAAACTGACAGAATTTTGACCGGACACCTCATCGGGTTGTAAAAAAAACTTTCAATACTCACCGAACAGTTCATCGGGTTGTTTAAAACTGTTATATTTCTGTTCTAAAAATACATTGGATTGTTAAAAACTGACTAATATGTGCAAACAGTACGTAGGATTGTTTGGAACTGTAAATTCTGTCTGTCAATTAATCATTTATTGTATAAAATATGGTGCGGGTACAACAGATGTCATAAAATAAGAATATCACATATTTACTGTATAACAGTGTTCAATAGTTTAAGTATGTAAAATATTATTAGTTTTAATTTATAATTAATTTTTATTAATATATATCGGAAAACAACGGATCCTTATGTTTTTAAAATAGACAGAACATATGGTTCTGCCTTTTGAAATGATGTTATAATATTAAAGTTATTTATTTACCTAAATTTTATTTGATACTAGTAAAAAACACAGCGATAACGAAAGTAACTGTCTTTATTCTCTTAATTTGAACAAGGTATTACAAAGTTAATCATTTAATAAATTAATTTAAAACAGTAAAGTAAAGCAAATCAAGCAATATACAGAGGTTTTACTCACAGATGCGCTTGGTCTGGCCGTCCTCGACGGAATGAATGTCCATCAATTTATTTCCCTCGCTAAGCATCGCCATCTTTTCCCCACTCCATCAATCAATTCAATTTTCGTTTAATTGGGGGTAGATGGCGCTGCTTGCGTGTGTGTTTACATTACATTTGATTAAGTTGATGAGAAAACTATTGTTAAGCAATTTCATAATTAATTTCTTATTTATTAAAGCATATTTGCAAGAAGCTAAGTTAATTAATTTCTAACATAAATAATTATGACTTACTTTAGAACACCACGGTTGTTTGTTAATCCAAATGATTACTTTATAATTCTAACAATCACATTCATTAAAATTTACTTGAATTAAGCGTTAATTAATAAAGATTTTGATTTAAATCACTGGGGAGATATTTTAATAACAGCCGATAAACTAAATCAATAAAAATGGTTGCGGCGACATATACATTATAACCTTTTCATTAACTTTATTATTATTTTATTCGCACATCATTGACTCAAAATATTTAATACAGTTCCGATTACATATTATTACAGTCTTATCATTTAAAAACATTAAATAATAATAATAATAAATACCCTTTATTGCACAAACCATATTAAAATTACATAGGCAAACATAAATCAATACATGAAAACGTACAAAAGGTGGCCTTATCGCTAGGCAGCGATTTCATCCAGGCAACCTTGCATTGGATGGAAAAACAAACGTCAGATGGCAGATTGTGCATAAAACCAAATAACAAATTAAGTCATACAAATAGCTATTATATCAAAAGTAAATCAATTTAAATGCCCCAATAATAATAAATTATAAAATATGTCCTTTTTATATAATATGGCGTCATTAATTCTTCTAAAATTGTTTGCATTCCAAATATTCAGTACATTAGATTTTTCAAAATTGACAGATATATGCAAATAGTACATTGGATTGTACACAACTGATTAACTGTCTTAAAATGTCTAATTTCCCACTGCATATCCTATAATCCTATACATATTATAAATGTAAAAGTTTCTATTTGGATGTTTAGATATTTGGATGTTTGTCCGTTAATCACGCCGAAACTACTGAACGGATTTTGATGAAATTTGGTATATACAGATAGGGTATTAGCTGACTTAGATAATAGGATACTTTTTATCCCACTTAACATTTCCCTAGGGTCCACGCGGGCGAAGCCCCTGGCGAAAGCTAGTAGCTCATAAGATTGTATTGAACTGAGAAATTTCTTTATTTTATGCTCGTTCTATTGGTATTGACAAGATGGCTGGCACTATTGAAACTTTTAACAAGCCTTATTTAGTTTCAACTGTCCCAATGTTAGTCTTTCTCTAAACAAATCTCGTAAGCTAAATATCGCTAGGATTTGAAATATAACTGATGACAATTATATATAATCGGTATTATTATTAATCCAAAATGGCCGTCGTAACAAAATGGCCGCGTCGCCATTTTGAACAACTCACGCAATTAGGTATCAAATTAGAATAAAATACACCAAATTAAAAGCTTGTTTTAAAAAATCAATATCTTTACTAGTTAAATGAAGAGTAAAAGTATAGGGGTATAGACGACTTAAAACTATTATTTTATAGATATAGATATACAGGAAATATATGTAAATAAAAATATCGTTCCATGTATGTATGCATGCTTTAAGGATTTAATTCTCGAAGTTTATAGTATATCAAACACTACCAGAAAAAATTATAATATGTATTCTTAATGAATAATGCTTTAAAAAACCACTTTGCACCCTGTGATGGGATTCGAACACATGACTCAATCCGGGCGACTGCTCTAACCGCTGAGCTACCCAGGACCTAACAGGACTGACGAATCTTTCAAGCATTTGCTACTTTTTCACTATTACAGAGCGTATTCTCATTAATGTTCAGGCAATCCACCCGAACAGCAAAAATAAATATTTTTACATATATTTAAACTTTCCATAAAGATGAAAATTGCAAAAGATTATGGTTTCGAGTTCTATTCAGGGTGCCGGGGACTAAGTGGATTTTTTAAGCATATTTCATTAAGAATACATATTATAATTTTTTTCTGGTAGTGTTTGATGTACTATAAACTTTGAGAATTAAATCCTTATTTTTTTCAGTATATCATTGTGGATCGATTTGATCAAATACTTGTATAATAATATACCCGTATTTTACTATTGAAAATATTTTTAATCTACACTCAAATAGAAAAATTGGAATTACGAATACAATGACGATTCTATACATACGCACTTTATGAACGCATATACATAAAATTAAAAATAAAACTCATTACAGTACCCGCCAACTGTATCATAAAACTCATTATGGGTATGTTCCGATATACAATGCGAGCACTGTGCAGTGGTCTTACTGCTGAAAAATCCGTTCCGTTATGGATTGCCAGTACACTGCTACAGTACCCTAGGGAAATTTATGACGTCATAAATTGCCGCCATATTTGTACTGTAAGCACTGGAGATTTGGAGGTAAGGTGCTCGCAGTGCTTTTGATCACGTGATCAGTCGAAACAGAATCAGAAAATGATAAGTTTCTAAATAAACAAAAAAAAATACTTACGTTTATTTATAAGATGGATTTAATTGTTAAATAATTTTTTTATACAATTTTCCAATTTTCTTTAGAAAAGAGGGAATCTTTATATTATATTCACCTTGCATTAACAAATTTGAAAATGGCGCCAAAAATAGGATTAACAGTATACTGGACTGCGTTCCGTTTTAAACAGTCACCAGTATAACTAGCTATAAAGGAACGGGCTTCCAGTATACTAAATTGACGTCATACTGTTCAGTGGTCGCAGTGTATATCGGAACATTCCCTATAGTACCGCTATCTTTTTTTATTCATTAAACTAGTCTATGGTTTTAGGCTGAATATGAAAAAAAATGGCGCGCGCATGCGCAATTTGAACTTAATTTCCCGCGCTTCCCATACATTTTTAGCCGGTCGTTTTTGTATTCGTGATACCAAAATATTACTTCCTTGTAACCTGCCTACTTTGTTTAATTTCAATTTTTCCCATGAGTGAAGATAAAGTAGTGTATGAAGCTGCACATAACTCAGGTATTAAAACGCTCGAGTCGACCTATTATCGTACATAAACAGACTCTCGTATTATAATACCCCTTCTTATATGACAGTTGCATAAACTACTATTTTTAAATAATTATGTTTTTTTTGTGGGTTTATATTAGTTCTGGTTTGAGTGGTGCATCGGCTGCTGGAAATGTTCACGAACAAATGCTGACGTTGGCCGCGAGACCGTACGGTGATTCGCCTCTGTTCAAAGATCTAGTGCCCGCAGACTGTAAGTAATCACATACCGTTTTGTAGCTATAGTTCAGTGTTTCCCAATATGTGGTCCACTCATTATCAGAGGTCGGCATTAGGTAGACTTATTTATGTACTTGCATCGAAATGTTGATATTAATGTGGACCTTCGCGGGATTTCTAATGGACAATCTTGGACAACTTTGGACATCCGGTGTCATTGATGCAAGTTTGGCAACGTCGTGCGTGCAGTAGTTTAAATTGTGTAAAAGTAAATAACTTTTTATTTAAAAAATCACGGGATTTTTTACTGCTCTTTAAAATTAATCTCGGGATTTGAGGCATGTCCACTTTATTCTTTCGCTGTATGAAATCAGTGTAAGTACATGAATAACTCTACCTAATTCCGACCACTGCTCATTATGTATGAGGCTTTCAGACTGTTCCCTATTCATTTGTATAAAATTTTAATGCATTTCGATAATTTTTCTCAGAAGACGAAATTTCGCTTATTTTTGAAACGTTTATAAGACTCCAAAGAACGCTGCCTCTGATCTGAAAATTATAAGGCGGATACCAAGGTTTTTTTTTTAATTTTATAAATTAAATTGAGCAGTTTCTTTTTTCGAATGTTCCAAATTTATTGCTAATTATATAAAATTTCTAAATGAATAATGTTAAAAAAAATCCATTTTATCCCTGGCGCTGTGATATTTTTAGCATTTTTTTTTTAGAATTCAAAATAAATTGATAAATAATAATAATAAAATGGTTTTTGTTATAATTCAGCGAGTGCATCGGAGGAAGTGTTGAAGCCAACGAATCCCGCTGCTGTTAAAGCGGTATTAGACACTGGGCGTTTACCGCCCACCAGACCGCCCATACGATTACAGCCCAGACCTTTACCACAGGATAAGGTATATTCATTATCATTTTCATTATTATAATTGTCATTACCATCATCAGTGGTCATTATAATTGTCATTACCATCATCAGTGGTCATTATAATAATATTTATTTATTTGCGAAAATATGGTTACAAGGTAGTTTTACAATTTAGTACCAGCATATTTTATCGTCAAGACGATGTGCAAATATTAAGGTCAATATACAATAAATTATCTGATTTTATATGAAAGAAAATGTCAAAAAATTAAAAAATAAATAATACATAAAAAATAGCAAATGTCAAATCATAGTCATAAGATACAATAGGTTCATATTATAATTAAAACATTCATACAATAATTAAGAATGAGATTTATCTTGCAAGAATTTATTAATTGAATAATAGTTTTTATCCATTTAATTGTCATTTTCATAAAATTGTCATTACCATCATCAGTAGTGGATTAGCCAGGTCGCAAATACTAAGGGCTCCGTGCGTTTAGGGGATCTATGATCTGACCAATAAAGTTATCTTTCATGTCATTGTTAACAAGAAATAAGAAATCTTGTATTTACAAGAAATAAAATAAGACATGCTTCTGATAGTTTATACTCCTATTTTTAAGTGTAAACATAAACTGACATAGAAAAATCAAGTTACAAATTAGTTTTGTGTTGTGCTGTAAGGATAATAAATGGCGATTTTTATGTTTCCTTTGTTGAGTTATCGATTCCGATTATTCGTTATCGTCTCTCTTTAAATAAAAAAACTTTTAAATAATACTTTTATTTTATATTCAATTTTACATTACTACATCTTTTTATATGAGTTTTTTTTTATTGTATTAATGTATAATGTGTTTGTATTTTTAATAATTAGAGCTATTTAATTTGAATGAATTTGCATGATCTTTTAAATATATTTTTTTAATAATATTGTAAATTTACCTATGTTTTGTATACCAGAAATGTAAATGTGCTGTACTTACCTTGTACTTATACCTTATGATAACAACTTTTGAACGAAATACGAAATAAACAGATAAACGAAAGATGTATTAGGTGATTGGAAGAATTGATTATGAAATGTTGTAAATGAAGAAAAGTGCGTTTGTAAGAATGCAGGGGGTAGTCAAAAAAATTTTCACCTATAAAAATCATTACCATTGTCATTAGTCATTACCGTTCCATTATTTTACACTTTGCTCGCTACACTGTGAATGACGTTTGACGTATATATAAAAACTGTTTATCACATGCACTAGTGCTGCAATCTGGCGTTAAAAAATTGCACTAATAAATCATGTTTTCCAACAGAAATCATTGTTCGACGGCCTAGAAGAATCCGACGCTAGTCTAGAAGATAAACTCAGCCTGAAACCGAGCAGGAAACGATTGGTTCTCAGGCCGAATCAGAGGACAGACAGTCAGCAAGACAACGTTCATAGTACACAGAACGACAGGTATATCTAGTGGTAATATATGTAGATAAAAAATGGCAATATATATATATAATAGAAATTCTTGTTAGTTCGTCTGTCGGATAACAGAAAAATATTAGAGACAAATTTTATTTATTTGGTCGATTTAACAAGAAATGACTACGATACTGGGCATTAAACTCGCGGAGTGGGGGCATTAAAGTTCATGTAAAGGACATTCTTATTAGTAAAGGCTATTATAAAGTTGATGATTATTTTAAGGACCGCAATGCATGGAATTAATAGCCTTCGCTTTGTTCTATAACGACTAATTGTATGTACAACCTATGTCCTACAGACTTTGAAAGTTGTATTTATTATTGTGATAATACATATTATTTTAGTAATGACATGATTTATGTAAATGTCGTTACTTATGATAAAGTGCTGGTAAGTTTCTTTCGCTTGTTCTTCTTGTCAGCTAAAAGACGTCCTGAACAAGTGGTAGGGGAAAAAAATTTTGGCCGATTCAAAAGTGCTTGTAACAAGCTTACTTGAATAAAGATATTTTCATTTCATTTCGAATTAATTACGATTTGAATAATCACGAAACTTAACCCGTCGAAATTAAGATTGTAGTCAGCATTCGTTTGACTTTATCAATAGCTTTCATATATATTATCCTATAATGCCTTAGACGATATAAATAAGGTGAAACTTGTGATTTCTTTCATTAAATATCTTTTAAAAAAAATCTATTACAATCGCTATTCGAAAGTTACAACAGTAGAAGGGACCAAAGAGTGAAGATAGATAATTTAGTCAATAATGGGTCCATGGTATGCTACGGGGTTCATCAGGGAAGTGTACTTGGTCCATCTCTTTTTTTGATATTTATCAACGACCTGTGTCAATGAGGAAGTATATAAAAAAATATTATTTTCAAAAATCAAACTAGATGTCGCTACGGTACGTTCTTGATTTCTCCATGACAACCCTTACGGATTTCTTTCAAGTTTAAAAGTAAATTAGTTTTCAACTCAATAAACAACTCATATTCTATTTGTACTTTTTCGTATTTGTATTGATATCTAAGTTTCGAACTTTCAAATTTCAGTTTTTTTAATATGCTAGTAAAAAGGAACGGTAATGACTGTCTTTGGTCCATTCGTTTCCTGCACAAATCAACTTTTGCTAGAGTCTCCATCTAGTGGAGGTGCTTTTTTAGTGCTTTTTTTATTTTTAAATACAGGAAGAATTAAAAAAAAAATTATAAACAATGTGCTAAGACTATTTATTATAACGAGTAGTCTTAGCACATTGATAAATGTTATTTGTTTATTATTGTGATCCAGGACTGCGGATGATGAGAGGAACGGTAGCTTATCGGGAGTGGGAGGGGGGCCGGAGGCTCCAGCGGATGCGGGGGACGCGGTCGACGCGGGGGGCAAGCGCTCCGGCAGCATAACTGATAACAGTGGGTTTATATATATAACTTTTCTTTTTATATACAGGGTTATTTATTAGTACGTCACTTCTTAACCAGTATTGACTGTATAAGTCCCGTGAATTGCTAATCCGTTGTTTAAATAACACCCGCGTGACGTCATATAAAAATAGAAAGTACAGATAGCACAAAAGGCAAGAGATAAATTATTAATTAATTATTGAAATATTTATAAGTAATCCCTAAAATATAGTGTGTAATTTATTGCATGAATTTTTGGAGAAGAACAAAATTTATATGTAAATATTGAGGTATATGGAAAATAAATAAAAAAAAATATGAAAAAATAATACTTTATGATGAAAGCGATAACAAACGGAAAGGACATTTTTGAAAATCTAATCAAAAGTAATAATGAAATGAGAGATATTTATTTTCAGTAAAATTATGTTGACCTATTGTGGAAATCATACATAATTATGTGTACTCACCAAGCAGTGTTTATTTGTTAACGGTACTGATTTTTGAACGCAAATTACGTCATCAAAATGGCGTCCAGGCGCATTAGCAATTTACGGGGATTGTATAATTAATTATCGAATATTGCATCCATACAAATAATTTTGATATAGTATTTTTTTTTTTAATAAATGAACGAATGTAGTACTGCTTAAAGAATGTTGTACTGCGAGAGTTACTGTTTAATGATTAATTATGTGGATTTTTCTTTTCCAGACTCTGATGCTAACATAGAGAAGAATAATAGTTGGTAAGTTTTGCTTTTTGGTAGTTTGGTAGCTTAATGGTAGTAATTCTATTTCACATAGGTACTTTATCCAACAGAATTGGCTTGATTCAGTTTTGATTATGTCTGTTTTCAGCTGATTGAAAAGCGTAGTGATTGCAAAAACAAGTAATTTATTATTTAGTCTGTTTATATATACAAATAAAGAAAATTTGGAGTGTCTGTTTGTAATTTTAAAATAACTGCTTTTTACTAAATGTAACCATAGTCATAGTCATAATATATATATTGCTCCATGTTGGTACATATGTTATTACCAGAGGTCGGAATTAGGTAGAGTTATTTATGTACTTGCATCGAAATGTTGATATTAATGTGGACCTTCCCGGGATTTCTTTGTGGACCTTCCCGGGATTTCTTTGTGGACCTTCCCGGGATTTCTTTATTTATTTATTTCTTCTTTCTTTCATTGATGTAAGTTTGGCAACGTCATGCGTGCAGTATTTTAAATTGTGTAAAAGTAAATAACTTTTTATTTAAAAAATCACGGGATTTTTTCTGCTCTTTAAAATTAATCTCGGGATTTGAGGCATATCCACTTTATTCTTTCGCTGTATGAAATCAGTGTAAGTACATGAATAACTCTATCTAATTCCGACCACTGGTTATTACACATAAATTATCATCAACATGTATCCTGCAAGGACATTGCAACATGCATCGCCTCACAAAATTACGATTAATACAGACATATGAAATTTCCGTTAAAACATTATAACATTAACTTAATACTATTTATTTTTAAGTTAACACAAAACGACACAATTATAAACAAAAACAATACGTCAATTACACGTTTCTCATCCAAGAATTCCTTCAAATTGTAGTTGCATCGGTCTATTGAATATTTTTCTATTTGGGGGCTGTCCATTTATCACGTGAGGCTCGAAAGGGGTGGGAGGGGTCCATGAAAAAGTCACGAAATATCACAAGGGGGGAGGGTAATCTTTCTGTCTACCTCTAGACATTATTGTACTCTTTAATTGTCTATAATACAATTAGAAAATTAAGATTCATTGTAAGTACTAAAAATACACGTGATATATGGGGAGGGGGGGGGGGGGTAGTCTTAAATCTCACCATGTATCACTGAGAGGGGAGGTTAAAAAATGTCAAAAAAGACATCACGTGATGATTGGACGGCCCCTTGCTTGTAAAATATTGCATTTAATTTTTAATGTATTTTGGTATTTTATTGTATATTATTATCGACATATGCTATGTTCCCGTTCTTACTAGGTGGAGATTTGTAAAAGGAATAAATAATTTGTTACATGGTACATGTAGGAAAATAAAATTAGTAACATTTTTTTTCTGTCTGTCCGTTTGTTACGACTAATCTCTGAAACTGAATTTGACGGGACTTACACTAGCAGATAGATTATGTAATAATAAGTAACTCAGGCAACTTTTTAGTCTTTAAGTGTTATATTCTAAAGATTTTATGACGTTATATGACAGATAAATTGTTTCAAGGCTATTAACAAATATACACAATATGTATGACGCCTGGGTAAAAAAAAATGACATTCTATAAAGACAGTTGCAAGTTTTGATGATAATATATATCAAGTTAAATAAAAGTATGTGTAAATCATAAAATAAGTAACCAAAATTTTCGGAACGGATGTTTTTTGAAGTTGCTTTTTTCTTTTTAGGCTTTCGTCCTCAAAGTTACCATGGAACGACAAAGAAAAACCCATAGACAGCGAATCTACACCACGTCTTTATCCAAGCTTAGGTAAGTCAGATATAACTATGCGTATAGCACGGTGTAGTTTCCCTATTATAAAAACTACCTTTCTGCCAGCGGGTTCACCCGCGTACTCCCTAGGGAACTATTTAGTGGGATAAAAAGTATCCTATTATCTAAGTCAGCTAATACCCTACCTGTTTAGCAAATTTCATCAAAATCCGTTCAGTAGTTTCGGCGTGATTGACGGGCGAACATTCAAACAAAGAAACTTTAGAAGGATTTCTTTTTAATTTTTAACTAAAGTTATGACAATCCAATTGAAAAATGATTACACTATTAAAAAGTAGTAGCACCAATTTACTTAATAATAACAATGGGAAGTATTAAAAAAAAACGAAAGCACTAAAAAAGCATCTCCACTGGATGGCGACTCTAGCAAAAGTTGATTTCTGCAGGAAACGAATGGACCAAAGACAGTCATTTCCGTTCCTTTTAACTAACATATTAAAAAACTGAAATTTGAGTTATTTGAATTTTGAAAACTAATTTACTTTTGAAACATGAAAAAAAACCGGAAGGGTTGTCGTGGAGAAATCAAGAACGTACCGTAGCGACATCTAGTTTGATTTCGGGAACTAATGTTTTTATTTTTAAATACTTCCTCATTAATTAATAAATTTTTGGATTGATATATAGTGGCAACAATTTTTTTTTTCTTTTAATACGGCAAGGCATAAATGGTTGAACTTTTATTTTTGTTAAATTATAAATATTATACAAACTAAATTTACAAATTAATATTATATTTCTTTATTGTCAGATAAGGAAATGCAATCCCAAACTTCGGAGAGGCGAGCCAGTTGGTGAGTACAAAAATTATATAATTAAATATTTGCTCTATTAGTTTTCTATAATGGTGTCTATCAGGGATGTATGAGTGGTTAGTGAAATCAATCTGCGATGCAAAAATTAGGTAATATTTGCAATGGCCGGTTATAAGAGGGATGACTATCTTCATCTCCTTGCTTTGGGAGGCACGTTAAGCCGTTTTTCTAGTCTTCATCAGCAGGTATTGGTGGGTTATGTATAACCTATTATATCCGGCCCAGCCCCCAAGGCCCTAGCAGTGAGGGATATGGGCTTATGATGATGATGATGTGTAACTTGGAGTAACTCAGTGGCGTAGCAGATAAGCGTTCCGCGATCGTTGTTGTTAAGCAACTTTCGCAAGTTTCGGTCACGGGATGGGTGATCAAAAAAATATTATCTCGAGCTCTCGGGTCTCGGCTGCATCTGCAATCGTGAATGCCCACCAATCCGTAATTATCAGTAAGGAACGCCTGAGCCCTCGCAGTGGGGACGGAAAAAGGCTGATGATGTTGATAAAAGATCACCCACTACAGTGTAAAATTTCACGTTTGAAGTGGCGCTAAATGATTTTACTCAAGTCTATTGAGATGTGACGTCACAACTCGAAATATCACGTGGTTGCATTCGCGGGACAAGTTAATGAATAGAAATGTGTTTTTCCTCAATTTCATAACAATTTTTTAACGATATTTGTATCTATCACTTTGCTTAGACTATTCCGATTTACGTCAAATAAAGGTTTTCTTTCATTCAATATGTTTAAAAAAAAAAGCGATCGCAAATGCTTTCAAATATCAAATAGTTGTAGCGTGAAATTCGTGAATATCTTTTAAATTTCAAGTGATTGTAATTTTTAAAATAATAGATTTAAAATAAAACAATACAGCAATAGATAGTATTTTAATATGATCATATGAAAGTTTTAAAGTACTTTCACCGATGCAATCCAGTAGGTGATAGGGATAATGATTGATTTTGTTTGTTTTGTCCGTCAGAGAGATAATTGAAGACTATCAAATAAGTATTTTTTTAATTTTTTGCTAAATTAATAAATTATGACAATACATTGAATTGAAATGTCTCGCTTTTGTACACTTTCTACAAAACTGTTAAATTGAAGCTAAAAAAATACATGTCTAATATTTTTCTATTATACCAACGGACTAAATAGAATTTCTTTTTTTTTAACCCACTCATCATCTCTATTATGGAGAAATCGAGTTCCAATCAGGGATTTCCCTGATTGGTTCTTCGATTAGTCCTTAGTATCAGATGAATTTTCTTTTCCTTAACAGGCTGACAACGAAACCCCTCCGGAAGCCTCTGACTACCAATCCGGATAGCGTGGAGAATTCCGTACGCGAGTTGGGGGTTCGATCCCCGGACAGGCTCAGCGACAAAGAGAACATCGACTCCCTATCTGGTAAGACGTTATTACAAGCGTTTATTTAGTTTCACCTGTCCGTCTGTTTGTCTTTCTGTAATTCAATCTTGCAAGCTAAATTACACCCACTTTCCAGTCTCTATTTGAGCTGAAATATACCTTAAAGTTTGATGACAATACAATTATATGTAATCGGTATTATAAGTAATCTAAAATGGCCGCCGTAACAAAATGGCGGAGTAAATATTTTTGAATGACACACCCAATATGGGTATCAAATGAAAGGGGCATATCTTATAGAATAGAATACACCAAATAAGGGATGTTCAAGTATTATATAATGAAATTTTACACACCACAAGTTGTGTAAAATTGTCTAGTCTTGTAAAACGTTATGATGCGTTAAAGGGATTTGGGGTTGTACGACGCGATTCGCAACATCATGTTTTTTATTGAATACAAATAATTATTTAAGATCTCCCTTAGATGGTAAAGAACTTTTGGTATTATAGAAGTGATTTTATACTGTATTGTCCTTAAAAGAAAGATTTGCATCACCAGCAGTGCGTGGACTATTAAAATTCATGCTTACTTGCCACGCAATTGTGGCAGAAAATGCCAGTTCCTCTTTTTTTAATATATGGCATATTTGCGTTTACACAATTCCGCCGATGCCACGTTAGTGGCTTTTACACGTAAAGAGACGATAACAAAAATATATATTTTGAGATAATAAAACAAGAAAAATAAGCCTCACCATGTATCACCGGGGGGGGGGGGGGTTAAAATGCTGAAAAAACATCACGTGATTAATGGACGGCCCCTTATACACCTTATCTGAACAGTGGAAGGTCTGAAGTTCTGTGGCCACCGTGGCGGTGAAATATGCCTCGGCTGCGAGAAGGTGGCGCATCAGATCTCAGGAGTTTACGGTACTCTTGTGTAGTTAGAACGGAATCGTATTGAGTAGTTAGTGCTGTTATTGTAATGAGGAAGTATTAAAAAAAAAAACCAGTCTTTTTTAAATATTATTATATCATTTGATAGAATTAGAAATAAATAAAAAAAGAAGAAAAAGGAATTAGAAATTTATTTGCTGTATTTCTTAACTATATGGATCGGGTTTTTTCTTTTTTATTATAAATAAGTAGCTGTTTTCCTGCGGTGTCTCCCGCGTGAAATATAACTTATGGTGTAGCTTCCCATAAATTAAAGAATTTTTAAAATCAATCCAATAGTTTGGGAGCGAATTCAACTCAAACAAACAATGATACCTTTCCTCTGTATAATATTATTATAGATTAATAGTATTGTAGACAACTTTTTTATATTTATATTTCATAGATATTCATGAAATATATCTAAAATAAATAAAAAAATATATATCATTCATTTAATAAGTTAAAATATGAAAATAAATTAAATTTCCGAATTTCCCGCGAACTCGCCACTTCTGTCATGGTGTCGTTATGACGTCACGGCACTCTGAAACGAATACCGTTCTATGGATGCATGAGGTTGAATTCTCTAAGTTCTATTATGAGTAAGATGGGCGTGACGTCACGCGCTATTTGTAGTCACGTGTAAAAGAGCATAAAATATTAGTTTTTTTTTTTCGTAATTATATTAAGCAATATTATAAATATACTAAGCATTAAAGTGCGATTATCGGTAATTGTATACTAAACACTACCAGAAAAATCGCTCACTGAATAGTACAGTGGAACAACTCAAAAACCATATTTCGAGAAATTCTCTCCGAAATTATGAAAATTTAATTTTTTTAGCATAACAGTTAAATCGTTTGTATTTAATTATTACTGTTAAGTTTTTTATATTTTGTTTAAATTATCTATGGGATGCCACCACAATGTTGTGGCGTTTTCTCGAAATAATGGTTTTTGAGTTGTGCCACTGTAGTATTCAGTGAGCGAAATAATATGTAGGTATTTATTTTCATTTACCATCTACACTCTAATTTTTAATTATTTAGCTATTTGAAAAAGTCAAAAGATATTATGATGAATATCGATGATTTATTAAAACATTTTTTTTTTACATTTAGTGTCAGAAGAAGAAAATGTGCCTCGGAGGGATATGCCACCTCATCCAGCCGGTGTGAAATTAACAAGGCCCGGTTATTACACGATACCGAGCCTTCAAGAGATGATAGGTGAGTCGGGGTTGAATAAAATGAGTTTTATATTTTCTCTAGGTAGATAATTCTCTAGATGTACCGGTTAATTGTTTGAGCCGGTTTATTTAAACTACGGTTTTATTAATCAACCGGTTTTTTATTCCGAGTAATGATCTCATTAACTTAGGGAGGTAAGAAATAGAATAGAGTAGAATAGAATAGAATAATTCTTTATTGTACAAGAACGCCAATAAATAAAATAAGTAACAATAATATAGAACAAATAGTACAATCGGCGGCCTTATCGCTAAGAAGCAATTTCTTCCAGGCAACCGTTACCGTTTGGAAAATTTTAATTTAAATCAAAATTAGGTAGTCTATGGTGTATAAATAGTTATGGATTAAATAATGTTTGTCTATATATCTACTCGACCGGTTTATTTTATTAACCGGTTCATTTCAAATACGTTTTTATTAATTAGCTCGTTTATTATATTATTCCACGTATTATTTATTTTATCATGTTTGTGTGCGCGACATTTCTGTTTAACCATTTATAACTGTGGTTATGACTTAAATGACTTAGCATTATAGTTGAGGCGTGGGGGCTCATGACGTCACAACTGTATAATATACGTAATAATGGTGATTCAGATTACTGATAGTTACACGCGCACTACTAATTAAATATATTTTCTATATGTTTATATTTAAGTGAACACATAAATGAAAACGTGTGGTGAAATTGAGGCCATTTTCCGGTTAATTGTTGTCAATAAAAATAAATATATTTTTATTTGTTACACGACAGCGTACATGCGTCCGGACGGTTCTTGCGTCGTCCCACATCTGACGATCGGCCGTCACAACTACGGCAACGTGTTCTACGATCAGGAGATAGATGTGACAGGATTAGATCTGGACGCTTTGGGTGAGTACAGTGTAGAATAGAATAGAATAGAATATACTTTATTGTACACACACATAACACTTACAATTTCAATTTTAAAAAGGAGACGTACAAATGGCGGCCTTATCACTATCTATAAATTAGATAGTGTATTTTGCCCGTTTTTGAAAAGTGTCTCGATTCCTCAGCAATCGGCTTTTTTACGCCCCCCCCCCCCTGAAGGGGCTCAGGCCATTGAGCAGGATGCGCCATGACTTTTCACGCTGACCCGATGCGGATTTGAGGGTATTAACGATTGAAAATGCAGCTGGGGTCAATGGCCTAAAGTGCCTTCCTCAGCGCCGATTAGCTCGAGGTGATAAATTTTTGGTCACCCATCCCGTCATCGACCCTTGCGACAGTTGCTTAACGACAACGATCGCGGGCCGTGGCACTTATCCACTACGCCACCGAGCTACTAATTGCACTTAATGATAATTCTGGAATCTTGTTCTTACAGCCAGTTGCACAAACAACCATTAAAAAAGTCATTAATTTTAAGCGACATTACCCATACAAATAAAACATTCATTAGAGCTTAAAGTCGTCATTAAACCTTAACGGACGTTTGTGAAACTGACCGTTAATGTATTATACTTAAAGAAAAATTATATTAATAGCCTTCGCTTTGTTCTATGACGACTAATTATATGTACAACCTATGACCTACAGACTTTGAAAGTTGTATTTATTATTGTGATAATACATATTATTTTGGTAATGACATGATTTATGTAAATGTCTTTACTTATGATAAAGAGCTGGTAAATTTCTTTCGCTTGTTCTTCTTGTCAGCTAAAAGACGTCCTGAACAAGTGGTTGGGGAAAAAAAAATTTTTGGCCGATTCCAAAGTGCTTGTAACAAGCTTACTTGAATAATGATCTTGTTAAATTGTTTTTTTTCTGTGATATGTATTGATTCGTTGTTCGTACAGTACACTTCATGAATAAGGAGGTGATTGTATATCCGGAGGACGCGGATAAGCCCCCCGTGGGGTCGGGGCTGAACAGGCGCGCGGTCGTCACCCTCGACAGGGTGTGGCCGCGGGACAAGACGCAGCGGCGACCCATCACGGACCCGGACAGGTGATCGCGCGCTTATTTCTTATACGGGGTTGTAATATTAACAACGGTCAATGTGGGAAAGTCTATTTATATCCAGGGCTTGAAATCGGTTCATAATAAACCGTTTTTATTTAAATAAAACCTGTTCTCTTGTAATGTTTTGTTCCGGACCGGAACTATATGCGGAGTGAAATTCAGATGGAATAAAAACCGGTTAATTCGCTAGAATCGTATAAAGCAATGATCTTACGCTTTTAATGCGAATTATATAATTTTTAAGCGACGACATTTATCATACCTGTGTACGGATGTTATAGATATGAGTATAGGCACTTAAAAACGGCACTGACGTTTGTGAGATCATTGTCTGGAGTCATATTTAAACCGGTTAATGAAGAAAACCGTATGTCTAGTGAACCGGTTTAAAAACCTGTTCAAAGGAGCTTAGGTACTATGGGAAGTCTATACACGATGTAAAATTTAGAACTGGAAAGGCTATACAGGGTGTAAAATTTAGAACTATCACTATGGAAAGTCTATACAGGGTGTGATATTAAAAACTGTCAGTATAGGAAAGTCTATACAGGTTGTAACATTAAGAAAGGTCAGTATGGCAATATCATATTGGCATATATTTTTATAATTTTAAACTTTTAATAAAATTAACTCATGGCAGAGCATGGTTCTATCACTTAACCCCTGTCATAACTATACGCTTGGTAGGGATCGTGATTGATTATAAAATTATACGACTAGGCCAGCGGGCGTCTTGGAAAATAATACTTACATTGTTTTGGTGTTGTTTCGTGTTAGATTATTGAAGATGGAGTACGAGGCGCGTTTGCGGCGGGTGTGCGACAAACACGACACAAAATTCATCGAGTACAGGCCGCAGACGGGCAGCTGGGTGTTCAGGGTATTTATTTATTTATACAGGCACACTAAACAGATTACAGTCATAAAAAGTAAATACATATTTGACAATATAATACGGATGATGACTAATTTTTGTTTGTTTGTCCGTCAGGTAGAGTGTTGAAAAATATTAAACAAGTATTTTTTTTTTTTTTCGTAATCATAAAATTACAGCGTTACATTGAGTTGAAATTTCGCATGACGTCACGTTATGGTACGTTTTCTACTCAACTGTGACGTAGCGAGCCCCCACTCCTCAACTTTAATGCCTGTTATCTAAGCTATTTCTTGTTAAAATGAAGTAAAAAAAAAAAAAACGTATCTAATATTTTTCTATTATCTGACTGACGGACTAAATAGAATTGCATGTTTTTTACCCAGTCGTCATCCCTATTGGATCTGGACTACAATCTAGAACTAATAATAATAATAATAATCATTTATTATCTCAACACAAAATTATGTGTTATTCTTCTTTATTCAGATTCTTAAAAAAATTTTGTACCTTAATTTTTACAAACTATAGAAAAGAAAAAAAAAATCGTTTTAATACTGATAAGTCCCTATATTATTTATTGTTTTATTCCTTATTTAGGTGCAAAGCTCTTTTACGCTTCTTTTAAATTTCACAAATGAAAAGTGAAAAATATTTCTAAAGGTGCCTCACTTGTTAATTTAAATGTCCTCTATATTGTTTAAAATATACAAGCTTAAGAACTCTTAATAAAAATGAACGCCAATTTAATTCGCAAACCGATTATAGAGTCAATAAACGTAATCCAATCTTTAGGTGGAGCACTTCAGCAAATACGGCTTAACCGATTCGGACGAAGAGGACGAAGCGCCGACGCCTGATGTTCTTAAAAGGCAAATCGCGAATCAGGCCTTGCAAAATGCCGCGCCTGTTACTGGTAAGTTGTGATGTGTTTTATATTAAATCAGCAGACCTTAATTTATTTAAATATAACTAGCTTTCCGTCAGCGGTTTCCCTTGTTTCCACTTTTGCTTTTATCTAATTATTATGTAAGTAAGATTAAGATTATTTGCTCCTGTGTAAATAAATAATTTATTTATTTATTTGTCACAAACATGGTTTATAAATACAGGGTTATTTTTGTACATGTATTACTAAGTATGCAAATTTATATAGTCTTATTATTTAACTATAATTGAATTAACAATGTCAATATATAGATTTAATGTATATCTGTATGTCAAATAATTATAATTTCAAGTGTCAGTATTAATTATCAGATACATATTAGACGACCTCCGTAGCCGAGTGGTTCGTACGCCGGTTTCAAGGTGTCGCCATCTCTGAGGTCCCGGGTTCGATTCCCGGTCGAGTCAATGTATAAAATTAACTTTTCTATATTGTCTCGGGTCTGGGTGTTGTGGTACCTTCGTTGTCTCAGATATTCCATAATACGGGGGCTTTAGCTAGTCATCTTGGAATCTGAGCAATGTATGTGATGTTGTTAAATATTTATTTTATATTTATTTATTTATATTGTTAACATAATAATAATTAATCACAATTTAAGAATATTTTTAGTCCAAAAAAAACCTATCCTTAATATCATATAACTTTTCTGTCAGCAGCCGTTTTATATAAATAATTTTTATTTAATAATATTAAATGATTTAAGGCAGACTTGAATAGCGATTCATATTGCGACACGGATATAATTATAAAGACAATTTGAATAGTACACAAAGGTTACTATAGTAACCTTTTATCCCCATACAAACTTCCACTTCCATTTTCATCCCTTTATTTGTTCTTTTAAAATATATCATATGCAGTGGTCGGAATTAGGTAGAGTTATTCATGTACTTACACTGATTTCATGCAGCGAAAGAATAAAGTGGATATGCCTCAAATCCCGAGATTAATTTTAAAGAGCAGAAAAAAACCCGTGATTTTTTAAATAAAAAGTTATTTACTTTTACACAATTTAAACTACTGCACGCACGACGTTGCCAAACTTGCATCAATGACACCGGATGTCCAAATATGTCCAAGATTGTCCATTAGAAATCCCGGGAAGGTCCACATTAATATCAACATTTCGATGCAAGTACATAAATAACTCTACCTAATTCCGACCTCTGATCATATGTCCACCGCATATGATATAGTTTCCTGTAGGTGAAAGAATTTTTAAAGTATTCGATGCAAATAAACAATATATTTTTTCTATTTACAATATTAAATATAGTTTATAGATTAGATAATTAGCCCTTCTGGTTTGAGAATTACTGTATTGTATCATTCTCTCCAGTTACTAAGCCGCCGGCGGCCCCCGCCCCCGGCCTGGGAGGCCTAGGGCTCCCCACTGGTCTCGCTGAGGACAGCCTGTTCGCTATGCACCAGACATCTTTGAATCTACTCAACGGATCATCCAAAGGTACGATCCCGCGGGACTGCTGCTAATACTTGAGGCGTATTTCTGATAATATTTATCAAATTATTGATGCTTATATATATACGGTTATATATATTGTTATTAGAATTATGTCGCATCATCTTTACGAAGATCGTTTGTAGAGAGGGCGCGATCATCGATACTTTTAATATTATTAGAATGGTGACACTGACTTTGACAGTTCGTTGACAAAAAGCAAGTTGCCGCCATTTTGGCAGGCATTCTGTTTCCGATCGCCGAGGAGTAAAGACATCCGACGACATCACGCTCATCTCGTTGTGTTATTTTAAAGATAGTCCTCCGATATGGACAATCTATTTGGGATTCGTAATAGCCCCTTCTGACTACCCGCCGTTATATATACAACGTGTCCCAAAATTCAACGATAAGCGGGCGCCAAGAGGTACCCTTGTTCATGTGTGCTTATGGAAAAATAAGAAAAAAATTGTATCTTATCTTTTTTATTATAAAATTAAATTCGAAAATCTTCGAAAATTTACACCTTTTATGATATTTTCAACTACCACGACCACAACTTCTCAATTATGTTCAATCTTTTTTTGGTATCGGATACCTAAGTAGCACTACTATTCGCTGCAACTCTTTCGAAAATTTTCGAATTTTATTTTATAATAAAAAAGATTAATAAGATATAATTTTTTTCTTATTTTTCCATAAGTACACATGAGCAGGTCTACCTCTTGGCGCCCGCTTATCGTTGAATTTTGGGACACGTTGTATATATATAATATAAATACGGTTTTGTTAGATAATTATAACAAGTATATCGTTAGTATGATCATTGATAAATATGCATATGTCATTGTTTTCCTTGTTATCAAGCTCTGGTAATCGGTTCCTCTTTGAGCGAGGTGACAGGGCCCACGAGCCTGTGCGTACATTGGGGCCATCCATAAATTACGTCACTCGATAAGAGGGGGGGGGGGGGGGGTCGACGAACTGTGTCATTAGAACAATATTTAGTAGAATTTGTATAGACAAACTTGTGACAGGGGGGCGGGGGGTTAAAAATCATGAATTTTGTGTGACGTAATTTATGGACGGCCCCCTTGACCAAATACAAAATGCTATTAAATTACATAATAGAGACAGGAAAATAAATCTACAGAAAAAAATGTCGTAGTGCCGATAATGAAGAAGTATTAAAAAAAAACGAAAGCACTAGATAAGCACCTCCACTAGATGGCGACTCCAGCAAAAGTAGATTTGAAAACTTGATAAAGTAGGAAAAATTTAATAAAATACACATGGCATTAAATTATTGCAACCAAACTATCATTATTACATCTATATATATATATATAAAAACGCACAAATGAAAAAGATATTGCAAATATTAGACGCTAGACGCCAATACATTTTTCGCTATCTAGCACCGTGTGATGTCACACAGTGCCTTGAAAGTAAATAAAGCACCGGATACGGTGTGGGCATGATGTAGGAGATATCCTAAACTATTAATCTCAGACACGATGTTACTTCTACATTATTTCTCAGATATTAATGGACTATTTATTTATAAAAAAAAAAAATTGTCAGCTATTAGCCTATATTTATTAGCTTATTGTGTAAGGCAAGAGTTAGACACAAGTGTAATACTTGTATCTTACACAGCACTACATATCTCCTAAACTATTAATCGCATACATGCTGTTACTTCTACGTTATTTATCAGATATTTATGGACTATTTATTTATAAAATAAAATAGTTGTCAGCTATTAGCCTATATTTATTAGCTTATTGTGTAAGACAAGAGTTAGACACAAGTGTAATACTTGTATCTTACACAGCACTACGTATCTCCTAAACTATTAATCGCAGACACGCTGCTACTTCTACATTATTTCTCAGATATTTATGGACTATTTATTTGTAAAATAAAAAAAAAATGTCATCTATTAGCCTATATTTATTAGCTTATTGTGTAAGGCAAGAGTTTGACACAAGTGTAATACTTGTATCTTACAAAGCACTGTATCTCCTAAACTATTAATCTCAGACACGCTGTTACTTCTACATTATTTCTCGGTATTAATGGACTATTTATTTATAAAATAAAAAAAAAAATGGCAGCTATATTTATTAGCCTCTTGTGTAAAGCAAGAGTTAGAAACAAGTGAACTTGTGTCTAACTCTTGCCTTTAGATAACTAAGTTTTTATTATGTCTCTCGGTCGTTCAAAGCATAATTCATTCTGCAAGCGATTGCTACCACAAACGTTACATAATTCCATTAGTCGATGTCACATTCGCTATACCTTTTAAAGAGATTGCGATAGATGATGAGATTAGCCCAGTGGAACAAGTTATATAAAAAACGGTATTGACACAAGGGCAATAGGGATGATGACTAATTTTTGTTTGTTTGTCCGTCGGGTAGAGTGTTGAAAAATATTAAACACATATTTTTTAATTTTTTTCGTAATCATAAAATTATGGCGTTACATTGAGTTGAAATTTCGCATGACGTCACGTTATGGTACGTTTTCTTCTCAACTGTGACGTAGCGAGCCCCCACTCCTCAACGTTAATGCCTGTTATCTAAGCTATTTCTACTAAATAGAATTGCATTTTTTTTTACCCAGTCACATCCCTATTTATAGGTAATGTTCTTACACGATGTTGTTGTTTACAGTATACGATATGGACACCACGGAAGAGAATGCGGAATCTCAGAGCATGTACCAGGAAAATAGAGGTAAATAAAATTATCATCACTGGCCTATTTGTGTAGGTCCAGTGCGGATTTTAGGGTGTTAATTACTGCAAATGCAGCTGGGACCGAAAGCTTGTTAATTTGTGTATTATTTACTAGAATTTCAGAAACTATAACCAGTTTCAACACGTATTTAATCATGGTTTTGTTAAGTTTTGGTTTATTTGATATGTATTTGTAGGTTTCGGCGTGAAGAGTCCCACCAGTGAACTGGCTCGATTAGAAAACAGGCAGAGCCATCACGTACAGCTGATGAAGGCGTCCCTTTATGCAGATGCCACAGGTAATATATTTAAACTAACAATTTTATATATGGCGATTTCAATTTTATATTAAGGTATTTCCAATTTTATATTGGCATTTCAATTTTATATATGTACCAGGGTTTCAATTTTGTAAATGGCGATTTCAATTGTATATTAGGGGATTTCATTTTTATATGGGGTTTTCAATTTTAGACGGGGAATACGAAATAGACAGTGTTATACGGCGCTCAGTTATCTTGTCGGTTTGTTTCATACACTACGGAATCATATTCTTCCGTTAAAAAAATGCACATTCACAAGTGCATTAATTTTTAATTTGGCAACACAATTATCTCGAGTTTTGACAGCTATAATATTCTCAAAACATTATTTACGAATTGCCCTGGTCTCCAAACAAAAAGATGATAAGTTTAATCTATTTTAAGCGCAAACAAATTTTAATTTTAACTTATGGTGGGTAGAAGCGACTTTAATAAAAAACATGTGACAGGTCAATCGATGTATGTAAAGTGGGCATGATTCTTTTAAATGTAAATAACAGAATGTCGTTATTTTTAAATTATGCCTTTAAAGTTTTAATATGTCTTTAAAGGGCTCAGGCCTTATGTGTGGTTAAGGAGTATTTCGTAATGTATTTCATTTTTGTGTGAGACAGAGATGGACGACGATATGTCTGTCTCTACTGGCGATCAGTTGGTGCCGATATCTGTTCCGCTGATCGCTAAAGCCCCTTTCATCGCCACCATAGAACCTGAGCCGATGGACGAGATCATGCCGGAACTCGAAGAAGGTAAACGACAGTTTTTAAATATATATATATATATATTTTAATATAAAACATTTACACTGCCTAACAGTTTTTAAATATATAAAAAAAAATTAATATAAAACATTTACACTGCCTAAACATTAAAAAGTAACAAGTGCTTGAAATATTCGTCGGTCCTGTTAGGTCCTGGGCAGATTAGTGGTTAGAGCAGTCGCCTGGATTGCGAAAGATCATGGGTTCAAACCCCATCTCAGGGTGCCGGGGTGAAAAATATTGAAAAATGTTTCATCAAGTATTATTATAAAACTTTCATATGATCATATTAAACCACTGTCTCATTTATTAATCTCCAAAAAGTTTTATTAAATAGAGAAAAAACATATTTTTACACTTTCATTTTAATGGTCCCGCTAAAACAATTGGTCACGTGACATTTCCATCACGTTACATCTCAATAAAAATTTGTTTGTACTCGCAACGAAGACGTTGATGCTTAGTTTATTGAAATGTGACGTCACACGATGCTCTGTCATGGCCGCGGCCCGCGTTTTGGTTCTTGTTATTCACAGATTGTAACTCGCAAGTTGTATTAAAACAAAACAAAATAGGGATGACGACTAATTTTTATTTGTTTGTCCGTCAGGTAGTGTTAAAAAATATTAAACAAGTATTTTTTTTATATTTTTTTCGTAATCATAAAATTACGGCGTTACATTGAGTTGAAATTTCGCATGACGTCATGTTATACAAAACTGTGACGTAGCGAGCCCCCACTCCTCAACTTTAATGCCTGTTATCTAAGCTATTTCTTGTTAAATTGAAGTAAAAAAAAATACGTATCTAATATTTTTCCATTATCTGATTGAAGGACTAAATAGAATTGCATTTTTTTTTATCCAGTCGTGATGCCTATTCTGCGTAAGTTATTGTCCACATGTAAGTTACCTATTCCAACATATTTCGTCCGCGTGAAAAGTAACCTAAGTTACTCCTTATTACATGAGCTATCTGCCAGTGAAAGTCCCGTCAAAATCGGTCCAGCCGTTTCAGAGATTAACCGGAACAAACAGACAGACAAAAAATGTTATTTTGGTATATTTACCGTATATATTACAAACGAACACTCAGCATTTTATTTATTTGTATCGGTTTATTATTATAACTATCAAGAAGCCAATTCATTCATCTCCATCCTTTCCCATGGCCTTTCCCATGAACAGAATAGAATCAAATAGGGAGATGGGCCATGACCCACTGCACGGCCCCAGTGCGTAATGGTGGGTGTTAACAATTGCATATGTACCCGATATCGGTTTTCTGGTTAACGATTGCAGATGCAGCAAGCGTCAGTGTCTCAACGAGTGCGGCAGAGCTCATGATAATAAATTTTCGGTCACCAATCCTATGACCGACCTTTGCGAAGGTTGCTTAACTACCCAGTTTTCAATTCTGTATAATATTTTACAGTTACTGAACAGCCGATGCGACCATTGATTGTGCAACCGCATAGTATAGTGCTCAAATATCACAAGAAAGTGCCGCCGTTCAAAGAAACCATCGAAGGTGAGAAACAAGCTTTGAAATATGGAATATTACGCGAAACTCTGTGTAGATGGCAGCACCAGCGCATGTTGTAAACAAATAAACTTTCTTGAACATTTCGTCTTCTGTAAATGAATGATTTCCTTCCTTATTCCGTTTAATATTCAGCAAGGATATATTATTGGATAACATTACACTCTCTGTTATTATAATTTCAAATAACATTTACTACCTACTTTACTCTCTGTTATTTTACTCTTTGCTCGCTACTCTGTGAATGAAGTTTGACGTTTATATATACAAAAAAAAAGTCAATGTAAGTTTCATTTATTTAGTACGAGTTAGTTTCGCATTTATAAGGCTACGCTCACTTTGGGCACGAATTCGTATCGTACGTAAACGTACGAATGTGGTCGTACGAATTGAGTGTTCACACTGAATACGTGTTTGTCCGTCTACAAATCATTATTCCGGTGATATTGCATTCGTTAAGTCCTCTTTGGTTGAAGCGCGATGAATAATCTTTACCTTCAAGATAATTCTCTTATTACTCGAAGACTGCGGCAACATCGTCGCCGTCGAAGATCCGAATGGGTGCGTGAAATATATTTGAAAAGAAATGATTTCGGCGAATTTCATCATATTATGGAAGACTTAAATAAAAATGCTATATTGTTTCATGGTTATGTAACTTAAATCACTCTGATCCCACAAACATTTCTTACTGTGAACTAAATTAATAAATGTTTCTACATCCACTCTTAAGAAAAAACGTACGAATAAGTTATAAAATCCCAACAAGTTCGGATTGGTTTCTGACGTCGTAACTATCCGTACGTATACGCACGACTAACTCGCACGCAGTCGGAGCGCTTCCATAGTACTTCTAAGGTCGGGATTATTCGTGCATGTTCGTACGTGAACGCACGAGTCAAATTCGTACGAAAACGCGTCCAAACTGAGCGCAGCCTTAGATTACTACATACGGATCGAGTAATATTTTTTTCTAATATCAGTGGTCTTATTATAAAAATCTAACTCAATCCATTTCAATTTGACATTCATGTGATAGAGATTGCATTTTTTTTTAAAGATAACTAATTAATGATATTGTTAATATGACGTTAAATTTACACGCGAATAATCTTTGAATGCTAATGAGAAGTGTCGAACAAAAGATTCGAATTCTTACTGCTATCTTTTTATGTTACTTGATCATTCAAATCATCATTAGTTCCGAAAGTGATTGAGTTTTTAACAGTTATATCATCATTCCCCTGCCCTTATCCCAATTTTATTTGGGGTCGGCGCAGCATGTCTTCTTCTTCCATATCTCCCTATCTGACGTCATCTCGCTAGTAACTTCCTTTCTCACCATATCGTCTTTCACACGATCCGTCCATCGTTTCTTTGGTCTTCCTCTTCCTGTATAGCCATCCACGTTCATGCTCAAAACCTTTCTCATCTTTCTCAAAACCTTTCTCACAATACTTTTTAACAGTTATATAATGTCATAAATGGCTGTTGCAATTGTTTTAATTTTGAAAGGGATTGCAATAGATTTTGAAGTTAGACAATTGGGCAGGGGATAATTATAAGACACGATAAACTGTTTTTATAATTTAGGACTTGTTATTAAAGGGGAATCAGCTTAAAACAACTATCAAAAATTGTCTAGGGTAGACCTACAAAAAAAAAAAAAAATTAAAAGCCCCCTTTTTATTATTAAATATTTTTATTTATATTTCACTTTTTGTTCGTCCGGAAGGAATCCGTAAGGAAGGCCTGAGCCCCTGCAGTGGGGACGTAAAAGGACTGCTAATATAATGATGACTGGGAACTGTGACTTTAGAAAAATATTTAGTAGAATTTGTATAATCATGAATTTTGTGTGACGTAATTTATGGACGGCCCCTAACTATGGATAATTATAAAAAAAAAAAATCTTGATAATTACGAACCGTGCAATTAGGCCATTTCTTGATCAAAATAAAAATGGTTTTTGTAATATCCTATTTTGTATGTATGTGTTAAGGTCAGCTGCAAGCGTCGTGTATAGCCGACTCGCGCATTTGCCGCGCGCGGCATTCCCGCGTGGGCTGGGCACCGGGCGGCATTATGACGTACGTCACGACCAGGGACGCGATACTTCAACTGCCCAAAAGTAACTATAACCTCTACGAATTAACATGACACCCGCCCGTTTACCAAAAATTATCTTGCTTCCATTATTATTAAATGATTATGTTATCATTATAAGACCATAGTTTCTCTTTTTTCTCTCTGTTTATTTATAATGTATTGATCTGGCAATGACATGGTTTTTGTAAATTTCATTAGTCTTATTAGAGCTGGTGAGTTTCTTGCTCGTTCTTCTCATCAGCCAGAAGACGTCCTGAACGAGCGGTAGGTAAAAAATGTTGGACGATTCAAAAGTACTTTTAAGAAGTCTATTTGAATAAAGTTTACCTAAACAAACTTGAGCGACTTCAGAATTTGTGTATCCGCTTTATCTTTGGTCTTACGTAGATCATATTTCTGATTATCAAACCTAACTTCAGTGGCTACCTAACTCTATTTTGATTATTTTGACTTTGACTTGACTTACTCTCGAACGCAATCGAGATTGGAATAATGCCGCTCTGCACTAGTATAATCTGGCGCTGAGTGTACTCTGATGGTGGAATTGAAGTAGCTCAGTGTTGCAGAATGAAATCCTTAATATTCATATTCATTATGTCGTTGTCGTTGAAAAAAAACACGAAAGTATTTTGTTTTTTGTCGTTATTGTTGAAAAAACCTAATAGTTATTTAAGATACGAGTCCGGAAAGTAAGGTTTTACGAATAAGGGCCAAATTGGCACGAATTCGAAAAACCTTTTACGCTCAAGTTTCTTACAAAATTTTTCAATGCTTTTTGCGAGGAAATAAAACAAATATATAGGTTAATAAAACTAAGTATGTATTAAAGGTAAACATTATTTGTTAAAATTAAACGTAATATTTGAACATGTTTTCGTGTCATTTCACCAAGGATTTCATTCTGCAACACTGAACTACTTCAAATCCACCATCAGACTACACTAAGCGCCAGATTATACTAGTGCAGAGCGGCACAATTCCAATATCGATCGTTCGCGATTGCGTTCGAGAATAAATGGGCAGGTGTCATGTTAATTCGTAGTGTTTTTTCAGTCCAATATATTTTATTAGTATTAGGCTGTTACAAACACTTACAAATGTCGGAATCTATGCTATTATGTCGCAAATCAATGGCGTCAGTTCTCGAAACATCACTTGGTTCTGTTAACTCTCTCAATCTGATAAATACCGTCCATTTTTATGTCACTACGCCATTTAATTCGATGTCGTTGACAAAACAAAATACCTTTAGGTTTTTTCAACGATAACGACATACGGCAACGACAAAAAACAAAATACTTTATAGGATTTTTTCAACGACAACGACAAAAAACAAAATACTTTATAGGATTATTTCAACCACAACGACAAAAAACTAAATACTTTTGGTTTTCTTCAACGACAACGACAAAAAACAAAACACCTTTTGTGCTTCAATGGGCAATGGGTATTTTTATATGATGATGATGGTGTTTCTATATTCTTGTAGGGGGCGATTTATGTGAAGTGGGCAGATATTTAGAGGGGAGGGGGAATGACGATTGGAGCGAGCCACTGCTAGCTACCCTCTCGCTCGCACACACGCACAACTCTGGACTGCAGGTAGGTTTTATTATATGTCTCATGATGATTAATACCCAGTTGCACGAGCGTCCATTAAAAGTATCATTAGTTTAAAGCGACATTACCGATAGAAATGTTCAAATTTCAAACCTTCATTAGAGTTTGAAACTCATTAAATCTTAATTGATTTTAAATGTTTTAAACTTCAGCCTGTTTATTATAAAACGGTTGGCTAATTTTAAAATCTATTGCGATCCCTTTCGAAGATTTAAAGTTTGCGATAGCAGTAAATGGAAGTATATATCGACGCTGGAAAGCAAACACGTAGTAACCCGCAAAACCAAAATTGTTCTTCAGAGCAGAAAAACTTTGATTTTTTTCGATAAATAATTCCTATAAACGGCCATGGTAACAAATAAAGTGTTCCTTAATCAATTTATACAGAAATAAGTATTTTTTTTTTAAATCTAAAGATTTTCCGTTCCAAATATCCATTTTGGTTTTGCAGGTTACTACGTGTTTGCTTTCCAGCGTTGATATATAAAAGATATTGTTTGCGTGAGACAATTCCATCTTACGAGAAATTAACGATATCGTTCAATCGGTATTTTTAAAAAAAAATCACGATCGCAATTACTGTCACACGTCAAAAAGATATAGCGTGTAGTTTGTGAATATCTTACAAATGTCAAATTGAAATGAATTTTAAAAAAAGACCTTATACCAATTCAATGGTTAGTGAATTTTGTTAAATTAATAAATAATTTAATAATTTTCGGTGACCCATCCCGCGGTCGACCATTGCGAAAGTTGCTTAACAATGGTTACCCGCCGCTGCGCTTATCTACTATATTACCGAGCTTTAACGTGTATTACCAATAGGAGACTCTATCCCGGCATCTGGAGACCCTCCTAGAGTTGTCTGATGTAACGCAAGTGTCCGAAGACACGTGTCCGAAACTCACCGTCCGGGACAACCCGCCGGACAGGCGCAGGCTGCTAGCCGGACACCTTAAACACGCCGCTAGCGCAGCGAATGACAAAAATCAGGTAAATCCTATTAATATTATAAATGTGAAAGTTTCTTGTAGTGGATGTTTGTCCGTCAATCACGCCGGAACTACTGCACGGATTTTAATGAAATTCGGTATACAGATAAGGTATTAGCTGACTTAGATGATAGGATATTTATCCCGCTAAATAGTTCGCTATGGAACACGCGGGCGAGGCCGCTGGCTAAAGCTAGTAATTAATAAATAATGGCTAGTTGACTAATTTTAATATTTTTTTTTTTAATTTATGCAAGACGCATAAATACGTCAGGCGTAAACAATATCGGGTACGGGTAGGACATATTAATACGTCTCCAATTTTGCGCCCTGGAACGGAAGGGACGTATATTTTCTATCGACTATGATAATACGTCATTGCGTGACTCGACATGAATTTAAAATCGATATATCGATGTTCCGATATTTATTAAAATATCAATATTAGCATCGATATATCAAAGGAAAAATATCCATTAAATCGCAATAAACACGAAAATATTTTACCAGTATTCCTATTTCTGAGACAAAAATATCAACAATATGTACTTATAACCTTATACCTAAGTCGTCGCCTTAGTATACCTTAGTCGGTTTCAGCGACTTCAGTGCCATAAGAATTAAAAAGATATCGTTTTGGATACAATTTTCGGTTCTGGATATTTTGTATCGATATTCCGATACATCGGATTGATATATATCGGTCAAAAATATCGATATATTAAATTCTAAATATCGATACATCGATACTTGTTCTGCAAGCCTAGTATGGAATCAGTACAACAAGCAGCTCTACACCTAACAATGCTTAGTGGAAAAGGCATTATCCAGAGCAAATAAAAAGTGATACAGGAAAAACTAAACCCCGGAAATGTCGAGTGTGTCACAAAAAAGGTGCTAGAAAAGAATCTACTTACTGGTGTCCGAATTGTAGTGTAGCATTATTATTAATAATTGTTTTAAATTAAATCACACAGAAAATTATTAATTACACAATAAAAATTCAATAATAATTTTCAAAATTATTTATTTAAACACAATAGTGTTTACGCGCTTTAACTTATTTTGTGATTCCTTTTGTACTTTAAAAATATTAATAAGCGATATATATTTTGTAGTTTTTCATTCATTTTATGTATAAATATAAAAATATGAAATGACGGAAGAAATAATACCGGTACAGTTGCATAATTTGAACGAGAACTCCCCAGTTAACAGGTTAATGTCTGAGAAATAATATAGAAGTAAAAGCGTGTCTGAGATTAATAGTTTAGGAGATACGGTGCTTTGTAAGATACAAGTATTACATTAGCTCTTGTCTTACACAATAAGCTAATAAATATAGGCTAATAGCTGACAATTATTTTTTTATTTTATAAATAAATAGTCCAATAATATCTGAGAAATAATGTAGAAGTAACAGCATGTATGCGATTAATAGTATAGGAGATACGTAGTGCTGTGTAAGATACAAGTATTACACTTGTGTCTAACTCTTGCCTTACACAATAAGCTAATAAATATAGGCTAATAGCTGACAACTATTTTGTTTTTGTTTTATAAATAAATAGTCCATTAATATCTGAGAAGTAACGCAGAAGTAACAGCGTGTCTGAGATTAATAGTTTAGGAGATACGGTGCTTTGTTTGTACTTTATTTGCTGTATTTAAAAATATACTTATGATTTTGCTAAAAAAAAAAAGAAAAAAAGTTTGTCCCCGGCACTCTGAGATGGAATACTGTTTCCAGATGAAATGGTCACGGGTTCGAGTCTCATCTCAGAGTGTCGTGGACAAAGTGGTTTTTTTGTTATTTTAAAGAATTTTTTTATAGATATATTTTTCATATATATGTATTGTTTTACAGTGGGGTGCTAGTAGTGAATACCGATTAGAAGTGTGGAAGCTTTGCGAGGCGCTGTGGGGGGACGATCTCGAGAATGATGGTAAATATTATTGTTTGTAGATATAAGGCAGGTATGAGTTGTTAATCAACTAAGGGGCCGTCCATTAATCACGTGAGGCTCGAAAGGGGGGGGGATTCGTAAAAAATCACGAAATATCACAAGGGGTGGGGGGGGGGTATAGTAATATATCACGTGTATTTATTAAACCGAAAAGCGACGTCAAAAATTAAGATTTTTTTTTTAAATGCACAAGATTTGGTTGAAGGAGGGAGGGGGTAGTCTCAAACCTCACCATGTATCACCAGGGGGGGGGGGGGGTCAAAGAATGTTGAAAAAGAACATTGGTGATTAATGGACGGCTCCTTAGATAGGTATGGACCATAGAATTTTTTTCGACTCCTCCGTGCTTCGGTGGGCACGTTGAGCCGTTGGGCCTTTCTGCATCTGCACTCGTTAACACCTACCAATCCGCGCTGGGCCCGCGTAGTGGTACATGGCTAGTCTACCTTTTCTATTCCGTCTATAGGGAAGATCTGAGCCTACACATTACACACATTAAATTCATTCACCTTTTTTTCATTTTTTTTTCATCGTTCACGGGACCAGTCCGGATTGGTGGTTGTTAAAACGTGCCGACAAAGTGCTAACACTTGTGGTCACGTGTTATTTAGTTATATTTTATACAATTCTCATATATTGCGCAGGAGTTGCGGGAACAGATGACGCGTCTATAGTGAGACGTCACAGGAAATTCCTGTCCTGGATCACTGACGCTGTGGCCGATGTCACTGATAAAGAACTGGCCACGCCGTCTAAAGGAGAGGACGAAGATGGTATGTATTAACCTAATTATTTAGGGTTCAAAGTCATAATCGATTGATTGAGTGATTGATTGATTGATCGATTGATGGATTGATTGATTGAATATTCTTTATTGCACTATGAAATACAGTGTAAAGGTACTTTCCTTTTGAATCACCCTATCTGTGAAAAAAAAACGCATCAAAATCCGTTGCGTAGTTTTAAATATTTAAGCATACATACGGATATAGGGACAGCGAAATCGACTTTGTTTTATACTATGTAGTGATTGTTGAATTTTCATAGAGGAGGATGGTCACAGTAGCAGAATATGGAGTTTACTTCTCGGCGGAAGGTTGCCAGCCGCTTGCCGTCTCGCGAGGCAGAACAACGATCTCAACATGGCAACACTGCTAGCACAGGCTTCAGGTAATATATCTCATGTAACATGAAGTAACATAACACCCGAAAGTCTATTCTAATAGGGATTGTTTAGAACCGCAGGCGTTTTCAAGTTTGACAAGCGGTGCTACCCCCACAACTAGGTAAAAAATCCACCGGGCGCGGCGAGGGCATTACGCTTAAAATAGTATTGTATATTACTTATATTCAAATTCTAATAAGAAAAGTAAACTTATAAACTATCAGAACAATTTACCAAAAAACACCAAAAAACGGCGTAATCAGGGATAGTGATAGAAAGGACTCGAGTCTTTTAGCCTTTTTTTTAGACTTGCAGCCTTATTGACAGGGCTAGAAAGCTAAATAGGTTTTAATCTCTCGAGGTTTATTAAAAAAAACTTTAGGCTAGTGATAAAAAGACTCGAGCCATTTTTTTAGTTTAGTTTCCTTTTGAAAACTTACAGTCTTATTGACAGGGCTAAAAAGCTAGGCTTTAAGCACTCGAGGTATATTAAAAAAAAGACTTTTGGCTCCTTCTTCGCATTGGTCATGAGATATAAAAAAAAGTAGTGAATGATACAGAAACGAAAAAAGTAAGTTTTATATTTATTATCTAACGATTAAAAAAATATTCACATTTGTACAATATATTTCGGTTATACCATATTATTATTTATTATAATTTTCACAATAAATGAAAATAAAACTTGAATCAATAATATCTTGTATTTCTATATAACCTGACTAGGCTTTTTAATTCATCATCATCAGCCCTTTTATTTAGATTGGAGGGTATTATCGACTGCAAAGACAGCCGGGACCGACGTCGTAACGTGCCTTCCGAAGCACGGAGTAGCTCGAAATAATAATTTTTCCGGTCACCCATCCTGTGACCGACCCTTGCGAAAGTTGCTTAACGACAACGATCGCGGGCCGCGACGCTTATCCACTACGCCACCGAGCTACTCACTCGAGTTACTTTTATTAACTACTAGCTTTCCGCCAGCGGCTTCGCCCGCGTGCTCTTGTATTATACATAAAAACCTTCCTTTTGAATCACCCTATCTATGAAACAAAACCGCATCAAAATCCGTTGCGTAGTTTTAAAGATTTAAGCATACCTACGGATATAGAGACAGAGAAAGGGACATTGTTGTATACTATGTAAGAATATATATATCTAATAACCACCAAATAAGCTGATTTTCTATATCGACATTGTACAGGCGACCCGTTGTTCCGAAGTCTGATCTCCCGTCAGTTGTCGTTGTGGAGGGAGTGCGGAGCCGATACCCTTATAGCTTCGCACAGATTGGAGGCGTTACGTTTAATAGCCGGCGAAGCTAAACCACTAGGAAAATTGCTGCTAGTCGACTGGATGAGAGCTCTTCACGCGACCGCGAGGTAAGAATATATATAGTGTAAATTATACAAAATTCATCCCCTATATCAACCCCGTTTTCAACCCCTTTTTCGTTAATTTCCATTAGGATTTTTCATATTTATTTCGTACCGCTTTTGAATTACGTTCATCCCCTGTTTCAACCCCTATTTTTATAATGATGGCTACCTTTCATCCTTTATGTTTTTAATTTCAGTGACGAATTTTCATACCCTATTTCAAACCATCTATCACGTTTTTACGTGGTAACCTATATTCCTTTCCTAAGGACGATTTTATTTGTTTATTTATTATTATTATTAATATGTAATAACTTTGTAATACTTTTTGTTTTAAAATAAATTGTAAGGATATTTTATTTATGAAAAAATATCTTCAAAATATATAAAAATATCTATTGGATTACAACCCGATACGCGGGCGGCCATGATGGAGTGTCGTGTGACGTCACATTTCAATAAACTAGACATATGCATATCTCTTGAATGATTGTTTTCTCGGGACAATTGAAATTAATAAATAAAAATATGTTTTTCCTTTATTAATAACACTTTGGAGAAAAATAAATTTGAAAGTATGAAATTTTTTATACTTTTCCCCTAACACACTGAAAGTGTGTTATTGACAGACAGGCAGATTTTATTTGTTCTACAAGTGAAAATATAGGTTTCTGTTGTAAGTTCGGAAAGTATGAACCATTTTTACTTATAAATATTTAGCAAAATAATTTTTATTACACTAATTTGGATAATAACCAGCTTTAAAAACTTGAAAAAAGTAGTACAATAATTTCCTAAAATACATATGGCATCAAATTAGTTAAATAAAACGTAACAACTTTTATTATAACATCCACAAACGTACAAATAACAAAGATATCACAAACATTACCCACAGACCCCCTTACGTTTTTCGCTACAATACTAAACTGTGACGTCACATTTTAGTCTGCATTCCCAGGGACAAACAAAGCACCGTATCTCCTATACTATTAATCTCAGACACGCTGTTGCTTCTACATTATTTATCAGATATTAATGGACTATTTACAGTGGACCCCCGGTGATCCGACAAACGTTTTGCAGGGCAGTGTCGGACTATCGAATTTGTCGGATTATAGAGTACTGCGAAATACGCCCTATAGTTTTTTTTTTTAATTACAGATCAGTGATAAAGATCTATATGTTATGTATATATCTATATTACTCTGAAGTACAAATCATACTTCATTATGTATATCGAATCTAGTAGGTAAATTAAAAAACATAATATAGAGCTTACGTATTAATATAATGTAAAAGTGATGCGAGTGAGTAATGTGAAAAATAATAATTTGCAATAGGAAATAATTGTGTACAAACAAATGTACGTAATAAACAAACAAACCTACGCGTCGAGCGCAATAATGGTGGCGCGCACAAATTATGACCTGTTCAATCATGCATTACGTATCTACCAAAAAATATTCGGACATGTCGGATTACAGGGGGCGCCGGATTAGACAGGGGCCGGATTACTGGGGGTTCACTGTATTTATAAAATAAAAATAAAGTTATCAATTAGCCTATTTGTTTCCACTTAGGTACTTATGTCCGCAAGTGCCGTCTTTGGAACGTGTGGTGACTACGTACGAGGGCTTCTTCAGGACCGATTCGTCTGATGAAGAGACGCCCGATATATTGGACGGCGATGAGATGGGTATGCAGCCGCCGCTGCCACCGTACATGGATCAGTATCAACTCCAAGAGGTATGCCAATTATGCTAATGTTACCATATTTTTTTTGCCATTGAACTATCTACCTGAAGTCCAATATTCATATGTATCTGTTACCGTTGATGTGTGATGAAGACATTGCACTAATTATATTGGACTTCAGGTAAATAGTACGATGGGATTAGGGAATGCAATCTCGCGAGATTGGGACTTGGGCGAGATCTCGTATATATATATAAAGTTAAAAGAATCCAAAAACATATTTAACGAACTCCATTTTCTTTGCTGTCTGTACTTAAATGACAGCTATGGCATGAAAACGGTAGCTGACCCGATCCTATTCTTATTTTACTTAGGCCTTCCTCATGGATGAAATCGAATAGGTAGGGTCATGACCCACCACGGTGGACCCAGTGCGGATTATTGGCTGTTAACGATTGCAGATGCCGTTTAACGTGCCTTCCGAATCACGGAGGAGTGGGAGATAATAAATTTTGGTCACCCATCCTATGGCCGGCCATTACGACAGTTGCTTAACAACAATAAAGTACATTAGTATAGACATATTTTATATTATGACTATTGTCTTGTAGAACGGCGGTAAACAGCGTCGCGTTCTAGATCTACGGTACGAGCTGATAAGGTCTCGTGCTAATAACACTCGGCCGAAACTGCAACCCGCCTCTTATACACCGGATCCTCTAGATTATTCTCTATGGTAAGTTTTTTCTACTTTATTCATATAAATCCGTATAATATGGTAGTTTTTTACTGAAAAATAAGTCACGAATTTGTAGAAAAATTAAAATGTGTGAAACTCTGTTATTGCGGATCTTCCTGGATCTTGAATAGATTCACACGTAGCTAGCCGATGCTTGGACTGTATAATTAAAACTCCTTCGATGGTTTTCACTTCTTCTTTATTCGTATATCTTGAGGGCCGGAGAGCTTACCATTATCGCTCAAATCGACCCGTCTTACATCTGTTGGGGTGGCTCGCACCTAGCTCCGTACATTATCAGTTGGTTAGCCTATTACACATCTAACCCCTACTTGGCGAAGCCACCCCCCACTCTTAACATCTATGTGTCACATTATTCTTAATTACTACGTTTTACTGTTTCTCTATTTACATCATAAATCACGTTAAAACATCATCATATTATATAACATAACTCGTATCGTGTCGGGCAAGACCGCGCCGTCGAAGCTCATAATCGTTCTAAGGCGCGCCGCGCTCTTGCCCGACGTATTTATGTGGTCAGAGCGAGACGGAAGATCCCGCGTAAACCAGCGCCGTCTCGCTCCGATACATTTTTATCGTTAACATGAAGGTAGTCGAACATTTTACATTTTAAACATCCCTGTATCGAGGCAATACCGTATAGAAACCTACATAAGCTCCCTTGACTCGGGCAATACCATATAGAAAACCCACATAAGCCTCCTTGAGTGAAGCAATACCATACAGAGAGCTACCTAAGCCTCCTTAGCGAGGCAATACCTTATAGAAAACCATATCAAATAAAATCCAACCCCTCACAATCATTTAATTTGCTATAACTTAAATTATCTTAATACTAGGGGAATAAATACACCCATAGGTTGTATCATTTAATTCTAAGCTTTAACCACATTCATTTAACTAAACTTACTTATTATATATAATTTACTTAAGATCATCTACTATACAACTCGACGAGACGTGCGTCCGTAACATCTGTCATGGAACACGATTTAACCTTATTGAATCTGATTATAAAGAATTATAAATGTGCTATGTAAGTAATGCTTGGACTAATTGAATTATTATAAAACTAGCTTTCGCCCGCGACATCGTCCGCGTTACTTTGCTTTTAAAGTTACTTTGAGCAGCATCTCTGACGAATATTCATAAAATATCTGAAATAAAGTTTCATCCCCTATTTTATCCCCTTAGGGGTGGGATTAATCAAAATCCTTATTAGGGGATGCCTACATCAAAGTAGCTCTATGCATACAAAGTCACAGCCCGATCGGCTAAAAATTGACAGTTTTATAAAAACTTTCATCCCCTATTTTATACCCTTGGGGGTAGAATTGATCAAAATCCTTTCTTAGCGGATGCCTACGTCCTAACATCTACCTGCATGCCAAATTTCAGCCCGATCCGTCCAGTGGTTTGGGCTGTGCGTTGATAGATCACTATGTCAGTCAGTCACCTTTGAGTTATATATATATAGATAGATATTAATATGTGCCGATGGTCCATGTTCTATGGGTATTATAAACTTTGGTATTATAATATCTGGTCGGGCACATTTTTATTCGTGGCATATTTTCTTCTTCTTCTTTTTTTAATTCATGGCCTATTTTCTTCTTCTTCTTTTTTTAATTCATGGCCTATTTGCGTTTACACAATTCCGCCAATGTCACGTTTGTGGTCTTTACACGTAAAGAAACAACAATAAAATATGTCAATCTTGAATTTAAATTAAATAAAAAAAATCTCTTTGCTACTCTTTGGTGAAAGTGACATTGATTAATGTTCATGCGTTGACCAAGGAGTAAACTTTGTAATGAGTAAAGGAGCATGGGATTATGTCTATACAGCCATGTTAATGACTTATAATTGAACTTAAATCCTATTAGTATTATAAATGTGAAAGTTTTTTGTTTAGATGTTTGTCCGTCAATCGCACCGAAACTACTGAACGGATTTTGATGAAATTTGGTATACAGATAGAGTATTAGCTTACTTAGATGATAGGATATTTTTTATCCCACCATTTTTATCCCAGTTCCCTAGGGAAAACCTGAATGTAAGTTATATCGAACTATCGTTAGACGATGTCAGGCTTTTATTGGAGCAGATGGGGACTCACTTTGAGCAATATTTGTAAATTATTAAATGTCCTAAAAATTTGCAAACCCTTCACAGACTAAAAAAGTAAAGGAAAGTAACTATTGGTAAATTTTCTGATATATTTGTGTGTTTTGTTGTATAATACCAGTTTCCTGTTGGGCACATGGTTCGGTAACCCATCGGTGGAGAGTATAACCGGGTTTGCATCACAACTGGAGGGGTGCGGTCTATGGCATCTCGCCGTACAGACGTTGTGCTACCACCCAGACGCGATACAGTGAGTATATCTGTTTATGATAATGAGCAAGTATTAAAAAAAAAAACTCCATGACAACCCTTCCGGTTTTCTTTCATACTTAAAAGTAAATTAGTTTTTAAAACTCCATAAACAACTGGTATTTGTATTGATAACTAAGTTTCAAACTTTTCAACCTATATAACGGCGGGTAGTCCGAATGGGTTATTACGAAGCCCAAATAGATCGTCCATATCGGAGGACTATCTTTAAAATAACACTGCAGGCGTGTATACCAACGTGGATTTGTTCCATTTTATCACTTTTCATACGAAAATATAACGAGATGAGCGTGATGTAGTCGGATTTCTTTACTTCTCGGCGATCGAAAACAGAATGTGTGCCAAAATGGCGGCAACTTGGTTTTTATAAACGAACTGTCAAAGTCAGTGTCACCATCCTAATAAAATCAAAAGTATCGATGATCACGCTCTCTTTACAATCGAGTAATTAAGTAATCGAGTAACTAGCAATTAAAATATAAGGAACTAAATCAAACGATCTTCGTAATGATGATGCGACATATATATTTGTTTTATTTCCTCGCAAAAAGCATTGAAAAATGTTGTAAGAAACTTGAGCGTAAAAGGTTTTTCGAATTCGTGCCAATGAAAACAATTTGGCCCTTATTCGTAAAACCTTACTTTCCACACTCGTATCTTAAATAACTGTTATGCAACTGTCATATAAGAAAGGGTATTATAACACGAGAGTCTGTTTATATATATAATAGGTGGACTCGAGTGTTTTAATACCTGAGTTATATGCAGTTTCATACACTACTTTATCTGCACTCATATTTTAATCACTCACAGGATTTTAGTAAACTTTTTTGCAATCCCGAATACATAAACACGATCGGCAAAAAAATGTATGGGAAGCGCGGGAAATTAAGTTCAAACTACGCATGCGTGCGCCATTTTTTTCATATTCAGCCTAAAACCATAGACTAGTTTAATGAATAAAACAAGACAGCGGTACTATAATGAGTTTTATTTTTAATTTTATGTATATGCGTTTATAAAGTGCGTATTTATAGAATCGTCTTTATTTCTGAATTCGAATTTTTCGTTTTGAGTGTAGATAAACATTATTTAATTTCATTTTATATTGTAACAGGCGCGGTCACCTGGTCCGCGGCGTGTTATCCCGCCAGATGCCCGCGACGCTGGACTCGCCGGCGGACGGGACTCGCGCGGGACTCTTGAGGAAGTTACGCGTGCCCGAGCGGTGGATACTGCTCGCGCAAGCTTACAGGGCCAAATATCAGGTACATGTAATTTTTTTATTATTATTGTTATTTGTTTTTGTACTTGTAGTAGATGTTATAGATGAAGTTGTGAAATTGGAGATGCAAGATGTACAGTTTTTGTAATATAAAAAATATATGAATACAATATATTGCGGTATAATGGTTATAGATGATTTATTAATTATTAATTTTCCATCTTCTAACCCCAACAAACAATTATTATTATTTAAAAAATACATTAGCCCTAGTATACTCTGTGGTTGGACTCGAACTCGATCTTTCGCAATCGGGGTGACTGCTCTAACCGCTCAGCTGCCCAGGACTTAACAGGACTGACGAATGTTTTAAGCACTTGTTGTTCATCAATGTTCAGCTGAAAGAAATATTTTTTAAGTATTTTTCATTTATATAACCTTTTGAAGTTAACAGTGTAAAACTATTTTAAAGTTTGATTTGATTTTCTAAATTGAGTTTTTCTATATTGTGTCGGGTCTGGGTGTTGTGGTACCTCCGTTGTCTCATATACGCCGTAACACGGGTGCTTTACCTATACATCTTGTAATCTGTCAAATATCCAAACAAAGAAATTTTCACGTTTATAATATGTCGCCACAGTGACGTCACACTAGCACATGGCGGATCGTGTTTCAAGTCACGTGACACACAGACAAAAATTTCGACATTTAATTTTAAGATAATAAGATTATCCTGCGATTTTAATACTCAAAATCAAAATTTTTCACTACCGAAATTGCTCTATTGAATCAAATCGTATAGGGAGAACGAACCAGGACCCACCACGCGGGCCCAACGCAGATTGGTAGGTGTACACGCGCCCTCCGAAACACGGAAGAGCTCAGGATAATAAATCTCCGGTCACCCATCCTATAACCGGCCATTGTGAAAGTTGCTTAACAACATATCGAGTTGATTTCGTATTAATTAATGATATTTTTTTTCCTAGCACTTGCCCCGATTGGAAGCGGAACATCTAGCTAACGCTGGACAGTACAACGCAGCTCATAGGATATTAGTGGACCAATTGCTGCCCACCGCTGTGCTAGACGGTCAGTATACACTGGATATTACACTATGATAGAAATTGGAATAGGGTAGTTGATAAGTTTTTCTTTAATTCATCATCATCATCATCAGCCCTTTTAAGTTTAAAATGCTTTAAAACGCTATGATGCACAAGTTCAGAAACGAAAGATTAAAATAATTCATAAACAAAGTAAAATTATATGATACTAATAAACATAATGTATGTTAGTGACGGTGAATGATTATTTTACAGGAATTTGAGTGTGTCGAATTTTGAATTTCATATTATTTAAATTATAAAAACGCTTAAAATTCCACTTTGTCCCTGGCACTTTGAGATGGGTATTGGATTTAGTAGGGATCCCTTTTATTCGACTATTTTTTTTGTCCTATTTTAGATTGGCATAACAAGTTACACATACTATTTTTTGTCATAATAGTTTTTTGGCATAATTGGGTTTTGGCATACTATTTCAATAGGCATAAATATAGTTAAGACGAATGTTTTTTGCCCTAACTTTTATTTGCATAAAGTTATTAGGCATATCGTTTATTTGCCTAATAGTTATTAGTATGTAGGTATTAGGACACCTTCGTGTAACAGTAGGTAAGGTTGGGGCTATGGGTAGGGCCACCCATAGCGCCAACATATTTATTTTATGTAGAAAAAGTAGTTTTAAACTTAAGCTTTAGAATGAATATGCTTAAGCATATTTATGCGTAAGAACATTATGATTAAGAATAATTATGCGTAAGAATATTATGGTTAAGATTTATTATGCTAATAGTAGGTATTCCTAAAAAAATATGCCTAAAAACTTATGCCAAATAATATTATGCGTTACAATTATTAGGCTAAACAAAGGTATGCCATGTTAAATTATGACATAAAATTTTATGCAAATAAATAGAGAACCAATTGAGTAGCCTAGTAACTCAGTGGATAAGGCGCGGCCCGCGATCGGTGTAGTTAAGCAGTTTTCGCAAGAGTCGGTCACGGGATGGGTGACCAAAAAATATCATCTCGAGCCACTCCGTGCTTCGGAAAGGGCCTTAAAGCAGTCGGTCCCGGCTGCATTTGCAGTCGTTAACTTCCTCCAATCCGCATATGGCCAGCGTGGAGGGTCATGGCCCATCCTCCTTTACCATCGATTAGGGAGAAATCTGAGCTTTTGCAGGGGGGAAGTAAAAGGGCTGATGATGATGATATTTATTTTTAATTTTCTATTTCCAACAGATGATCTGAAGAGTATAGCACCTCTGTTGGAGATATTAAACGAGGCGGCTTCGAAGGACCAAGTCAGCGATTGGGACAGTGGAGGTTCAGCGTTGTATCACTACATGCATGTATGCGATGAGGTAATTGTATATACTAGTGGTCGCTCAGTGGTCGAAATAGGACCATAATAAATTCTATATGTATATGTCGCATTATCATTACGAAGATCGTTTGATTTAATTTCTTTTATTTTAATTGCTAGTTACTCGATTACTTAATTACTCGATTGTAGAGAGAGCGTGATCATCGATACCCTTAATTTTATTAGAATGGTGACACTGACTTTGACAGTTCGTTAATAAAAAGCAAGTTGCCGCCATTTTGGGACACATTCTGTTTCCGAACGTCGTGGCGTAAAGACATCCGACGACATCACGCTCATCTCGTTATATTTTCGTAAGAAAAGTGATAAAATGGAACAAATCCACGTTGGTATACACGCCTGCAGTGTTATTTTAAAGATAGTCCTCCGATATGGACGATCTATTTGGGCTTCGTAATAGCTCATTCGGACTACCCGTCGTTATATATATATATATATATATAAATTTTGTGTCACGATGTATGTTGCCAATAAACTCCAAAACTACTGAACCGATTTCTATCAAATTTCACATGTACCCGTATTTTGGTCTAACTTACTGGATAGGATATTTGTCATCTCAATTATTCGCTTATGTCGTGAGTGTAAACAAATTAAATGTTCTAATCAATTGCTTCTTAAGCAATGTGTTTATTTACTGTTTAGTTTTATAAAGTTCTCATAGATGGCGGTGTACCGTGGTTCATAGACAGGGGGCCGTCCATTAATCACGTGATGTTTTTTTTGGCATTTTTAACCTCCCCTCCCCTATAGTGACACGTGGTGAGGTTTAAGACTACCCCCCCCTCCCCTATATCACGTGTATTTTTAGTACTTACAATGAATCTTAATTTTCTAATTGTATTATAGACAATTAAAGAGTACAATAATGTCTAGAGGTAGACAGAAAGATTACAGGACTTGCAGGTTGTTTTTGATTGACAAAAATAATGAAAGGAATGCGAAAAACTTTATGAATATTATTATTTAATGAACGTTTGACGAAAAAATAATTTTATTACACTTATTTACGCCGCTTTTCGGTTGAGTATCGCGCGTTTGTCGAAAAAATAAATACACGTGATATGTTACTTCACGCCCCCTCCCCCCTTGTGATATTTCGTGACTTTTTTATGGACACCTCCCCCCCCTTTCGAGCCTCACGTGATTAATGGACAGCCCCTAGAATGCTTCAATATCGTTTACATCTAGGTTACAAATACACCCAATAGATGGCGCTGTGTTCTGGATGGCGTTTATTCTAAAGTAATCTGTGGTAACGTTTCTTTCAAAGAATTTTGCGTAGATTACGTTTTCGATTAAGTTTTGTGTAAACTTCAGAACTGTTTTTTTTTATCTTTATTTCAAATTGCATTGAATTGGATTAATATCTCTAAAGTTTCAAAGATAAGGTGCTGAAACATATTGGACATTCGTTGGTATTCTGTTGTTCTTTCTTCGAACTTAAACATCAGGGTAATTTCATCATCAGCTCAAAAACAACAGCGTTATTGGAAAATATGATGCCCAAAGTAACTATATCACGCGGACGAAGTCGCGGGCAAAAGCTAGTAATTTATTAAAATATAATGTTCAAACATTATTAAGGTTCTACTGTCAAAGACTATATTACTACTTACTTTAACCACAGATTTCGCTAACGCCAAAAAAAGATTTGTTTAGCCTCCACAATAAAAAATACAAAAGATCCTTGAACCAGCAATAGCAGATTTATATATTTTTTTACTTGTATAATAAAATTTTTCATTCAGATCAATGCTACAGAACTTTCGTTAAATATAGAATGATAGCACATTTGTATATTGCTTTGCATTGTACTTATTACTCAAAATCACTCATTTTTCTTGTAAGTATATGAAATTACTGAAATCGAAAATCTTTTGACATTCAGTAAGACCACAGTAAATATTCAATTCAATTCAATTCATTCAATGCAAGTCACAGGTCATACAGATGTTATAAATTAATTTTGTACAAGTGACGCCCTGTAAGGGCACAGCAATACTGAGGGGCGATTATTGCCATTTTTACTTATAAATATTATTGTTCTAGTTAATTATTATTATTAAATTTAATAGTTATTTTATTTATATATCCAATATCATTTAAACTCGATTAATACATTTACAATACATTCATTTATTAATTCGTTTAATAATTATTTTATTAATTACTTAATTTATAAACCTAAAACATAGTAAATACATTTATTCATATATACTTTTTTTTATATCACTAACATATAAATAGATGTCTATGGTAAATATATAAAAGTTGACACTGGCTAAATGCAAACCGTGCGCAGCCAATATTCAAAAGAAACAAACAAACTCTATGTCACAAGAAACAATTTGACCACAGAGTACATGTATGCGTGTAGGAAATACTTGTTTGTGTGTGTCAAATGCATAGTTGTGTGTGTAATGTTTGATTTATCGATTAAATGTATTTTATAAGCGTTATTATTGAAAAATATCAGCCGTTTGCACTTCTATATATACTATAAGTGTGCCAAATTTCATACTCCTCCGCCCTCGCAATTTTTGTAAGGGGCCGTCCATGTTTTTTCAATATTTGGTGACCCCCCTCCCTCCTTCAACCAAATCTTAATTTTTGACGTCGCTTTTCGATGTAATATTTGCACGTCGAGGAAAAAATAGATACACGTGATATATTACTAACCCCCCCCCCCTTGTGATATTTCGTGATTTTGACGAATCTCTCCCCCCCTTTCGAGTCTCACGTGATTAATGGACGGCCCCTAAAAAGGGGTCCAAAGTTTTTGTTTCACGTATTAATATATAGATATAAGTAATATCCTAAATGAAAAATGTTTAAGAAATCCACCAGCCCTAAGTACTCTGAGATGGGACTCTTACCCAAAATAAAGAATATTTTCCATTAAGTGGAGGGTCATGGCATGTCCATGAGGAAGGCCTGGACATCTGTAGTTAGGATGCCCAAAGGCCTGATGAAGATGACTGAATAAATAACTGAGCACATAGGGTTGTCAGCTTCGGTGGTATGAATTGATTGTTGGGGTGTTGTGTTCAGATCCGCGGCATGGTGTGCGGGGCGGGGGCGGGGGCGGGGGCCGCGCGGGGGGCGATGGGCGCGCGCGTGGAAGCGCTCCGCCCCCGCGTGGTGGCCGCCTGCAGGGCCCTAGCGGCCCTACCTATCAGGTAAATATACCAGCAAAAACCAAAGTATATATACTAAAAATATATCTAGTAATGAGTAGAAAGCCTTTATATTTTTCCAAACAAAATATCTTATTTCCATAGGAATTGACTTAGACACAACTTATTTATGACCATGGACGTTTATAAGAAAAAGATTTCGATAAAAAAAATTACTTTCCAGAGTAAAACATAAACCTATAGATAAAAAAGTTTCTTTCTGATCGTAACACAAAATTAAATGACTTATTACTGAACATTTACACTATAGAAGAAACAAAGAAGAACAAGAAACAGAAATTTATCTGTATGCAGCAAGAGATATAATGGCAAAAATAAAAGAGGACGCTCACACCGATGTCACGACACATGCATTGACGTCATAACACTCACACCTATATCACGACACTCATATTGTCATCATGACACTCACATCTATGTCACGACACTCATATTGATTTCATGACACTCACACCTATGTCATGACACTCATATTCACGTCATGACACATTAATTTCACGACACCCATATTACACCCACACCTATGTCACGACACTCATATTGATTTCATGACACTCACACCTATGTCATGACACTCATATTCACGTCATGACACACCAATTTCACGACACTCACATTACACCCACACCTATGTCACGACACTCATATTGCCATCATGACACTCACATCTATGTCACGACACTCATATTGACGTCATGACACTCACACCTATGTCACGACACTCATATTAACGTCATGACTCTCACACCCATCTCACGACACCCACATTGACCCCATGACACTCACAACTATGTCACTACACTCATATTGACATCATGACACTTACACCTATGTCACGACACTCATATTGATTTTATGACACTCACACCTATGTCATGACATTCATATTAACGTAATGACGCACCAACTACACGACTCTCACATTACACCCACACCTATGTCACGACACTCATATTGTCATCATGACACTCACATTACACACACACCTATGTCACGACACTCATATTGTCATCAGGTGTGACACTCATATTTTCATCATGACACTCACACCTATGTCACGACACTCATATTGTCATCGTGACACTTACATCTATGTCACGACACTCATATTGACATCATGACACTCACATCTATGTCACGACACTCATATTGACATCATGACACTCACACCTATGTCACGACACTAATATTGATTTCATGACACTCACACCTATGTCATGACACTCATATTCACGTCATGACAACAATTTCACGACACTCACATTACACCCACACCTATGTCACGACACTCATATTGTCATCATGACTCTCACATCTATGTCACGACACTCATATTGACGTCATGACACTCTCACCTATGTCACGACACTCATATTGACGTCATGACACTCACACCCATCTCACGACACTTGACCCCATGACACTCACAACTACGTCACGACACACACATTGACATCATGACACTCACACTTATATCACGACACTCATATTGTCATCGTGACACTTACATCTATGTTATGACACTCATATTCACGTCATGACACACCAATTTCACGACACTCACATGACACTCACACCTATGTCATGACATTCATATTGACGTTATGACACACCAACTACACGACACTCACATTACACCCACACCTATGTCACGACACTCATATTGTCATCGTGACACACAACTATGTCACGACACTCATATTGACATCATGACACTCACATCTATGTCACGAAACTCATATTGATTTCATGACACTCACACCTATGTCAAGACACTCATATTCACGTCATGACACACCAGTTTCACGACACTCACTTTACACCCACACCTTTGTCACGACACTCATATTTTCATCATGACACTCACATTACACTCACACCTATGTCACGACACTCATATTGTCATCGTGACACTTACATCTATGTCACGACACTCATATTGACATCATGACACTCACACCTATGTCACGACACTCATATTGATTTCATGACACTCACACTTATGTCATGACGCTCATATTCACGTCATGACACATCAATTTCATGACACTCACATTACACTCACACCAATGTCACGACACTCATATTGTCATCATGACACTCACATTACACTCACACCTATGTCATGACACTCATATTCACGTCATGACACATCAATTTCACGACACTCACATTACACCCACACCTATGTCACGACACTCATATTGTCATCGTGACCCTTACATCTATGTCACGACACTCATATTGACATCATGACACTCACATCTATGTCACGACACTCATATTGAAATCATGACACTCACACCTATGTCACGACACTCATATTCATTTCATGACACTCACACCTATGTCATGACTCATATTCACGTCATGACACACCAATTTCACGACACTCACATTACACCCACACCAATGTCACGACACTCATATTGTCATCATGACACTCACATGACACTCACACCTATGTCACGACACTCATATTGTCATCATGACTCTAACATCTATGTCACGACACTCATATTGACGTCATGACACTCACACCTATGTCACGACTATTGACGTCATGACACTCACACCCATCTCACGACACTTGATCCCATGACACTCACAACTACGTCACGACACACACATTGACATCATGACACTCACACTTATATCACGACACTCATATTGATTTCATGACACTCACACCTATGTCATGACACTCATATTCACGTCATGACACTCATATTCACGTCATGACACTCACACTTATATCACGACACTCATATTGTCATCGTGACACTTACATCTATGTTATGACACTCATATTCACGTCATGACACACTAATTTCACGACACTCACATGACACTCACACCTATGTCACGACACTCATATTGACGTCATGACACTCACACCCATCTCACGACACTCGCATTGACCCCTTGACACTCACAACTACGTCACGACACACACATTGACATCATGACACTCACACTTATATCACGACACTCATATTGCCATCATGACACTCACGTCTATGTCACGACACTCATATTCACGTCTTGACACACCAGTTTCACGACACTCACATTACACCCACACCTTTGTCACGACACTCATATTTTCATCATGACACTCACATTACACTCACACCTATGTCACGACACTCATATTGTCATCGTGACACTTACATCTATGTTATGACACTCATATTCACGTCATGACACACTAATTTCACGACACTCACATGACACTCACACCTATGTCACGACACTCATATTGACGTCATGACACTCACACCCATCTCACGACACTCGCATTGACCCCTTGACACTCACAACTACGTCATGACTCATATTCACGTCATGACACACCAATTTCACGACACTCACATTACACCCACACCAATGCCACGACACTCATATTGTCATCATGACACTCACATTACACTCACACCTATGTCATGACACTCATATTCACGTCATGACACATCAATTTCACGACACTCACATTACACTCACACCTATGTCACGACACTCATATTGTCATCGTGACACTTACATCTATGTCACGACACTCATATTGACATCATGACACTCACATCTATGTCACGACACTCATATTGACATCATGACACTCACACCTATGTCACGACACTCATATTGATTTCATGACACTCACACTTATGTCATGACGCTCATATTCACGTCATGGCACATCAATTTCATGACACTCACATTACACTCACACCAATGTCACGACACTCATATTGTCATCATGACACTCACATGACACTCACACCTATGTCATGACTCATATTCACGTCATGACACACCAATTTCACGACACTCACATTACACCCACACCAATGTCACGACACTCATATTGTCATCATGACACTCACATTACACTCACACCTACGTCACGACACACACATTGACATCATGACACTTACATCTATGTCACGACACTCATATTGACATCATGACACTCACATCTATGTCACGACACTCATATTGACATCATGACACTCACACCTATGTCACGACACTAATATTGATTTCATGACACTCACACCTATGTCATGACACTCATATTCACGTCATGACACACCAATTTCACGACACTCACATTACACCCACACCTATGTCACGACACTCATATTGTCATCATGACTCTCACATCTATGTCACGACACTCATATTGACGTCATGACACTCACACCTATGTCACGACACTCATATTGACGTCATGACACTCACACCCATCTCACGACACTTGACCCCATGACACTCACAACTACGTCACGACACACACATTGACATCATGACACTCACACTTATATCACGACACTCATATTGCCATCATGACACTCACGTCTATGTTACGACACTCATATTGACATCATGACACTCACACCTATTTCACGACACTCATATTGATTTTATGACACTCACACCTATGTCATGACATTCATATTAACGTAATGACACACCAACTACACGACACTCACATTACACCCACACCTATGTCACGACACTCATATTGTCATCATGACACACAACTATGTCACGACACTCATATTGACATCATGACACTCACATCTATGTCACGAAACTCATATTGATTTCATGACACTCACACCTATGTCAAGACACTCATATTCACGTCATGACACACCAGTTTCACGACACTCACATTACACCCACACCTTTGTCACGACACTCATATTGTCATCGTGACACTTACATCTATGTCACGACACTCATATTGACATCATGACACTCACATCTATGTCACGACACTCATATTGACATCATGACACTCACACCTATGTCACGACACTCATATTGATTTCATGACACTCACACTTATGTCATGACGCTCATATTCACGTCATGACACATTAATTTCACGACACTCACATTACACTCACACCAATGTCACGACACTCATTTTGTCATCATGACACTCACATTACACTCACACCTATGTCATGACACTCTAATTCACGTCATGACACATCAATTTCACGACACTCACATTACACCCACACCTATGTCACGACACTCATATTGACATCATGACACTCACACCTATGTCACGACACTCATATTCATTTCATGACACTCACACCTATGTCATGACTCATATTCACGTCATGACACACCTATGTCACGACACACACATTGACATCATGATACTCACACCTATGTCACGACACTCATATTGACGTCATGACACTCACAGCCATCTCACGACACTCGCATTGACCCCATGACACTCACAACTACGTCACGACACACACATTGACATCATGACACTCACACTTATATCACGACACTCATATTGATTTCATGACACTCACACCTATGTCATGACACTCGTATTCACGTCATGACACTCACACTTATATCACGACACTCATATTGTCATCGTGACACTTACATCTATGTCATGACACTCATATTCACGTCATGACACACCAATTTCACGACAGTCATATTGACGTCATGACACTCACACCTATGTCACGACACTCATATTGACGTCATGACACTCACACCTATGTCACGACACTCATATTGACGTCATGACACTCACACCCATCTCACGACACTCGCATTGACCCCATGACACTCACAACTACGTCACGACACACACATTGACATCATGACACTAACACCTATGTCACGACACTCATATTGACGTCATGACACTCACACATATGTCACGACACTCATATTGACGTCATGACACTCACATCTATGTCACGACACTCAAATTGATTTCATGACACTCACACCTATGTCATGACACTCATATTCACGTCATGACACTCACATCTATGTCACGACACTCATATTGTCCTCATGACACTCACATCTATGTCACGACACTCTTATTGATTTCATGACACTCATACCTATGTCATAACACTCTCAACTACGTCACGACACACACATTGACATCATGACACTCACACCTATGTCATGACACTCATAATCACGTCATGACACTCACATCTATGTCACGACACTCATATTGTCATCATGACACTCACATCTATGTCACGACACTCATATTGATTTCATGATACTCATACCTATGTCATGACACTTATATTCACGTCATGACAAACCAATTTCACGACACTCACATTACACCCACACCTTTGTCACGACACTCATATTATCATCATGACACTCACATTACACTCACACCTATGTCACGACACTCATATTGACATCATGACACTCACACCTATGTCACGACACTCATATTGATTTCATGACACTCACACTTATGTCATGACACATATTAACGTAATGACACACCAACTTCACGACACTCACATTATATCCACACCTTTGTCACAACACTCATATTGTCATCATGACACTCACATTACACTCACACCTATGTCACGACACTCATATTGTCATCGTGACACTTACATCTATGTCACGACACTCATATTGACATCATGACACTCATATCTATGTCACGACACTCATATTGATTTCATGACACACACACTTATGTCATGACACATATTAACGTAATGACACACCAACTTCACGACACTCACATTACACCCATACCTATGTCACGACACTCATATTGTCATCATGACACTCACATTACACTCACACCTATGTCATGACACTCATATTCACGTCATGACACATCAATTTCACGACACTCACATTACATCCACACCTATGTCACGACACTCATATTGTCATCGTGACACTTACATCTATGTCACGACACACGACACTCATATTGATTTCATGACACTCACACCTATGTCATGACACTCATATTCACGTCATGACACACCAATTTCACGACACTCGCATTACACCCACACCTATGTCACGACAGTCATATTGACGTCATGACACTTACACCTATGTCACGACACTCATATTGACGTCATGACACTCACACCTATGTCACGACACTCATTGACGTCATGACACTCACACCCATCTCACGACACTCGCATTGACCCCATGACACTCACAACTATGTTACGACACACACATTGACATCATGATACTCACACTTATATCACGACACTCATATTGTCATTGTGACACTTACATCTATGTCACGACACTCATATTGTCATCATGACACTCACATCTATGTCACGACACTCATATTGATTTCATGACACTCACACCTATGTCATGACACTCATATTCACGTCATGACACACCAATTTCACGACACTCACATTACACCCACACCTTTGTCACGACACTCATATTGATTTTATGACACTCACACCTATGTCATGACATTCATATTAACGTAATGACACACAAACTTCTCGACACTCACATTACTCCCACACCTATGTCACGACACTCATATTGTCATCATGACACTCATATTCACGTCATGACACACCAATTTCATGACACTCACATTACACTCGCACCTATGTCACGACACTCATATTGTCATCATGACACTCACATCTATGTCACGACACTCATATTGACATCATGACACTCACATCTATGTCACGACACTGATATTGACATCATGACACTCACACCTATGTCACGACACTAATATTGGTTTCATGACCCTCACACCTATGTCATGACACTCATATTCACGTCATGACACACCAACTTCACGACACTCACATTACACCCATACCTATGTCACGACACTCATATTGTCATCATGACACTCACATTACACTCACACCTATGTCATGACACTCATATTCACGTCATGACACATCAATTTCACGACACTCACATTACATCCACACCTATGTCACGACACTCATATTGTCATCGTGACACTTACATCTATGTCACGACACACGACACTCATATTGATTTCATGACACTCACACCTATGTCATGACACTCATATTCACGTCATGACACACCAATTTCACGACACTCGCATTACACCCACACCTATGTCACGACAGTCATATTGACGTCATGACACTTACACCTATGTCACGACACTCATATTGACGTCATGACACTCACACCTATGTCACGACACTCATTGACGTCATGACACTCACACCCATCTCACGACACTCGCATTGACCCCATGACACTCACAACTATGTTACGACACACACATTGACATCATGATACTCACACTTATATCACGACACTCATATTGTCATTGTGACACTTACATCTATGTCACGACACTCATATTGTCATCATGACACTCACATCTATGTCACGACACTCATATTGATTTCATGACACTCACACCTATGTCATGACACTCATATTCACGTCATGACACACCAATTTCACGACACTCACATTACACCCACACCTTTGTCACGACACTCATATCGATTTTATGACACTCACACCTATGTCATGACATTCATATTAACGTAATGACACACAAACTTCTCGACACTCACATTACTCCCACACCTATGTCACGACACTCATATTGTCATCATGACACTCATATTCACGTCATGACACACCAATTTCATGACACTCACATTACACTCGCACCTATGTCACGACACTCATATTGTCATCATGACACTCACATCTATGTCACGACACTCATATTGACATCATGACACTCACATCTATGTCACGACACTGATATTGACATCATGACACTCACACCTATGTCACGACACTAATATTGGTTTCATGACCCTCACACCTATGTCATGACACTCATATTCACGTCATGACACACCAATTTCACGACACTCACATTACACCCACACCTATGTCACGACACTCATATTGCCATCATGACACTCACATCTATGTCACGACAGTCATATTGACATCATGACACTCACACCTATGTCACGACACTCATATTGATTTTATGACACTCACACCTATGTCATGACATTCATATTAACGTAATGACACACAAACTTCTCGACACTCACATTACTCCCACACCTATGTCACGACACTCATATTGTCATCATGACACTCATATTCACGTCATGACACACCAATTTCATGACACTCACATTACACTCGCACCTATGTCACGACACTCATATTATCATCATGACACTCACATCTATGTCACGACACTCATATTGACATCATGACACTCACACCTATGTCACGACACACATATCGATTTCATGACACTCACACCTATGTCATGACACACCAATTTCACGACACTCACATTACACCCACACCTACGTCACGACTTTCATATTGACATCATGACACTCACATCTATGTCACGACACTCATATTGACACATGACACTCACACCTATGTCACGACACTCATATTGATTTCATGACACCCACACCTTGTCAAAAGATGTAAAAAAAAATCACGTGATTAATAGACGGCTCCTTATGGGGATTACCGTCGAATGAATGATGGAGTGGTACCGTTGCGCGCAGGGGTGGTCGCCAGGCGGCGGCGCGCGCCGAGATGGGTGGGCGGCTGGTGCAGCTGCTGGCGGCGGGCGGGGCGGCGGGCGCGGCGCTGGGGCCGCTGCTGCACGCGCTGCGGCTGCCGCCGGCGGCCCACGCGCGCGCGCTAGCACAGGTATACTATACTTATGAAATGAAAATGTTTTTATTCAAGTAAGCTTGTTACAAGCACTTTTGAATCGTCCAAAAATATTTTTTCCCCTACCACTTGTTCAGGACGTCTTTTAGCTGACAAGAAGAACAAGCGAAACTTACCAGCTCTTTATCATAAGTAATGACCAGTGGTCGGAATTAGGTAGAGTTATTCATGTACTTACACTGATTTCATACAGCGAAAGAATAAAGTGGATATGCCTCAAATCCCGAGATTAATTTTAAAGAGCAGAAAAAATCCCGTGATTTTTTAAATAAAAAGTTATTTACTTTTACACAATTTAAACTACTGCACGCACGACGTTGCCAAACTTACATCAATGAAAGAAAGAAATAAAGAAATCCCGGGAAGGTCCACATTAATATCAACATTTCGATGCAAGTACATAAATAGCTCAACCTAATTCGAACCTCTGGTAATGACATTTACATAAATCATGTCATTACCAAAATAATATATATTATCACAATAATAAATACAACTTTCAAAGTCTGTAGGACATAGGTTCTACATATAATTAGTCTTTATAGAACAAAGCGAAGGCTATTAATTCCATGCATTGCGATCCTTAAAATAATCATCAACTTTATAATAGCCTTTACTCATAAGTATATTCTTTACATGAACATGGATATTAAGCGTTGCCATTGTAAGGGTCACGTCACACAAAATTCATGATTTTTAGACACCCCCCCCCCCCCCCCCGTTCTGTCACATGTTGTCTATACAAATTCTACTAAATATTGTTCTAATGTCACAGTTCGTCGACCTCCCTCCCCCCCCCCCTACTCCTAACGTGGAAGTATTTAAAAAAAAGTTTTTATATTTGTAAGTTATTCTTTATTTATCTCTGTTGTGTGTTGTACAATAAAGTGTTTCTTATCTTATCTTATTAGTTCTCGAAATCATACTAGATGTCGCCACGGTACGTTCTTGATTTCTCCATGACAACCTTTCCGGTTTTCTTTCATGTATAAAAGTAAATTAGTTTTCAAAACTCAATAAACGACTCATATTCTATTTGTAATTTTTCGTATTTGCATTGATATCTAAGTTTCGAACTTTGCAAATTTCAGTTTTTCAATATGTTAGTTAAAAGGAACGGAAATGAGTCTTTGGTCCATTCGTTTCCTGCAAAAATCAACTTTTGCTAGAGTCGCCATCTAGTGGAGGTACTTTTTAGTGCTTTCTTTTTTTTTTAAATACTTCCTCATTGTCGTCAACGTCATTTTTATTTTGACATACTTTTAAATCTTGATATCCTTTTTTAAAATTCTAAAGGAGTGTATTCGTGTCATATGTAATGCTTGGTTTGATGATAGTTGTAGATCACTTTTTGAGAAGTTTAATGTTTTGCATCTACCCTGTATATACATAAAAGGTGTATGTTTATTTGTTCACTCCAACACCAAATATGGGATTAAATGTGTAGAAGTTATGCCCCGGCAAACTAGACAAAAATATATAAATTTATTGTACCAAGTGCCATAAGGACATTTTAACGTACATTTCACAAGTCCATTAACTTAATATGTGCATAAATATAAATGTATTTAAATTAAAACTGACAGAGTCGCTTATGGAACACAGCATCTAGATTTTTTTTCCTTTAAGAACAAAACATGATTTATTATAATAATATTACGAATTCAATATTTGCACGCCTGTTCTCAGGTAGAATACTGTACCCATTTCATTATTTAATTTGTATTTTATCAAATAAAGATCTTATCTTATCATATCTTATTGTCAGTGTAATCTAAACAAACTACTGAACAAGCCGATGTTCTTGCGTCCTATCCTGGGAGGTACTGGGGGTAAATAAGACCGCGTCATAAACTGACCATAGTTTTGTAATGTACAGCTCCATCTGTTAATGAAAATTACAAATCTATATGTCATAAATATCAGTCACATAACCATAAATACGTTATTTTATAAGCATTTTATTTGCGTTAATTAAAATTAAAGTAAATACCTCCATAAATGGCTTATACGTCAATATTGCGCGCAGACAATCCATCCTACCTTTTTTTATATATAATTTTATAGTATTTGCTCATATCATAATTACATTACATTGGTTTCTTTGGATCAACAGATCACGACAGAATTAGCTGAGCACGCATCAGATTCTTGTATTGAATCCGTATCAAGTTCTCCGCGCTCTTCACACCACAGGGCCGCTGTACACACGTAGAAAGAGACAGATGTGCACGATAACTTTAACAGTACACATATTTTTACCGTTCGATACCTTTAATAGAACATATTTGTCAATAAAAAAACAAATCATTTAATGTTGTTATAAATTGTGGGTATGTCGATAAAAATCGGTCGTTGACCTCCCGGTAAAATAGGGTGACCATAAATAGCAAAGTATTTGTGGATATTCTTTTTATTCCCGGCGTTGATAGTTAAAAAAATTGCGAATATAATGTATATTGTGACATGTGAACTGTTTTGAAAAATCCTGTATTCCAATTAGTTTATATAAATGTAATGAAATATAATTGTAATTAATCACTGAAGACTTGACTTGCAGCGAATAATTAATAGAATACCGACTATTTTTGTTTTTTCAATCAGTATAATAACAAAATTGTAAATCTTCTAAGTAGTCAATTTATCAATAGGTACATAATTTTATAGAATAAACACTGCTAGGAGGGTTGTTTTCTTCGTTTGTGTAGATCAAAACAGAATTCTCTACCTTACCCTATCTTATAGAGCAGAGAATTCCGCACAATTAATAATATATATTTTTATAGGTAATCTAGAGATATTATTTTTTTATTTTCTAAATTTTAGTCACACTAGTTGTGGGGGGACTTAGGGAGATAATTTGTTTTTCTTAAATAACTTTAAAACTATCTATTTCAAATGCGTAATATTGTAAATTCTCACAATAAGCCCTTTCATTTGATACAAATCTGTTGTTTGCAAAACTTATTTTTTATTAACCCCCTCCGCCCCCCCTCAAAAGTGGTAGCCATGTTTCGAATTCATTTATATACGATAAACGGTCATATTTAATTTAAATTGATTGAATTTCGTAGTAGTAGCTTCGAAGATGAATGAATGAATGATTTTTTTTATTAGCGTGCATTATGGCGATATTATTCGTTTCATTTTACTACTATGACGTGATTTTTAATGAATAAACATAGTTTGAGCCTTCTATTTAAGTAATAGTCCAGTCTAAACCGCGGTTACCTGGAAAAAAAAATTTTTAGCGATAAAGCCGCCTATTGTACCGCTAAATTGTATTTTCCTTTTATTTAATTATGGTGTACAATAAACGATTTTATTCATTCATTCATTCACGTCTCAAACTGTACTTATATGTCACTTAAAAAGGTCTTCGTTTCTGATTTTAGTTTTTTAATGATCTTTTGGTAGTTTTGATAAAATTAGGACTCTTTGCATTGTGGAAAGTAAAAAGAAACTTAAGCTATTAAAAATAATCAGATGACATGTTTAAGTGGCAAATATATATTAATAATTTTTTGTCATTGCTTCTTCGTTGTTAAAGTATATGTCAAAGTTGTAAAATAAAAACTAAGTAGCGCTATAACATTGCCAAGATATCGTATACTATAAGAATAGTTACATTCGCTTACACTTACCTAGAACCTTAACTAGGAAACGCCTAATATTACGAATCGCTTAAGCAGATTAGTTTAATTTCAAATAAATATATTTTTTCTTTCATGTCTAGCGCAAGGCGGAATAACGAATACCATAACTTTAGGCATTGCTTAATTTCGCTAGGCGATTCCTAGTCAATGGTAAAATGCATTTTACCTTAGGCGACTCCTAAATTTTTAGGTGACAGATTTGGGCTATTAAATTGAATTAAAACGGGCATTAGACCTATAATCCTTTTTTTGTACGGTACCCTAAAAAATATACTAATATTCATACGATATAATTTAAGACCTACATTTAATGGTATGTTTGTAATGAGTTTTTTTTTTTTAATATAAAAATAAGTAACTTGTATACTATTTATTATTGTAATTTCTTTTCGTCGAAAATGAAATGTAATGTAATGTTAATGTAAAAATAATTCCAGTTCGATTTTGTGTAACATAGTTTAAGTTATAATTTCTTTAAGATTAAGAAAAATTACTAATATGCAGGATTTTCTTTATTAATATACGCTATTAATAATAAAAATAAATGAAATTTGAAAGTATAGCGCTTAAAATCTATTAGACAAGGAAAGAAAGCATCCCCACTCCGAACTATATATTATCCGATAAGCGAATGTTAATTAAAAGAAATTCTCTATTATTAGATAGCCCACTAATATTAATGCTTCATTTATATATAATGCCTTATGCATAAGGGTTCAAATCCCTGTTGAATATTATTGTATTGTAATAAGAAACGCCAAAAACATTCTTAATTGATAATTAAACAATACGCCATGTAAACTCTTATTGAATAATTTTATTTTTAACTAATATTATAAAGGCGAAAGTTTGTTACTTCCTCACGTAAAAACTACTAAACGACTGTTGATGAAGTTTGGTTTACGTACAATTCTCAGCCCCTATTAACATATAGGACAGGGGCGGATTGTGAATTTGTGGGGCCCCGGGCTAATACTAATCAGGAGCCTATTAATTACTGAAGTGAATGTAATTTTGTTAAGAGACTGTTTTCAATAGTACCTAATATAGAAGTATGTATGGGTTGAGGGTCCTTTGTGTCTACGGGGCCCTGGGCTTAAGCCCGTTAAGCCCTTTAGTAGAGTCTGCTTTCTATCATACTGTATTATGCCTAGGGAGAAAAGTACTATCAAGTCATCATATTTGAGCGAAGCCGTTGGCTTAAAGCAAGTATGTTACATGTATTAAGGATATAATAATAATTTCTGTAATAATGTAGAAGCGCTATAACAGTAAAGTTAACTTTTATTAAATAACTAGCTTTCCGCCAGCGGCTTCGCCCACGTGGTCCCTAGGGAACTGTTTATCTGGATATCGATTCATATCATGACACGGATATACTAATTACAATGGCAAGTTGAATAGTGAACAATGGTTACCATGGTAACTTCAATTTCTCCGCATAAACTTGATTGTTTCGACACCGACACCGATTCAAAAGATTCTTTCACCTACGGGTAACTTTATCGTGTGCTGAAATCTTTTCTCTTTATAATATTATTATAGATATGTTACATAAATTAAGGATAAAGTAGATAAGATATTTTTATCTTCAGTGAAAGGGTCGTACTTCACAAAAGCTCTAGCTTTGAAAAAAAATTGATAGATTTTGAAATTACACAATTAGACCACAGCCCTGCGCTTGTGTAAAAATCCAAACCCGAATTCGAATTCACTCATGTGTCCCAATTCACGCTATTCAGTGAAGAAATTCTATTGATTCCATTTTAAGTATAGAAATACAAAGCAAAATTTATTGAATACACATGTCTCAGATATTCTATTCCTATGTCATTTCGAAACTCATTTCACTTGTGCCACGAAACGTTCGATTACCAATGAGGAAGTACTTTAAGAAAAAATGAAAGCACTAAAAAAGCACCGCACTAAATAGCGACTCTAGCTGAAGTTGATTTTTGCAGGAAACGAACGGACCAAAGATAAGTCATTTCCGTTCCTATTAACTAACATATTAAAAAACTGAAATTTTCTAAGTTCGAAACTTAGATATCAATACAAATACGAAAAAGTACAAATAGAATATGAATTGTTTATCGAGTTTTGAAAACTAATTTACTTTTATACATGAAAGAAAACCGGAAGGGTTGTCATTGAGAAAATCAAAAAAGAACCGTAGTGACATCTAGTTTGATTTCGGGAACTAATGTTTCTTTTTTATACTTCATCATTCAAGATTGAGCGGAGCCGCTTTTTGAAGTGAATTCAGACTCCTGAGTTAAATCGAATTCTGGTTTGAATTTTGACAGAATCGCAGGGCAGAACCTAATTTCATAATTTATATTGATAATAATTTAATATATCGCGTAAATCCCATAAATGTAACATGGGGAGATCCCCTTTTGTTTTTGTAAATAGATGGCAACACTACAATTTGTTGCCAGTATAAAATAGGTAGTTGATTAATTGTATTTCGGTCTTGCTATTACACTTGTAGATATTGTCAAAGATAAAACTGATTAATGTAAGCTAAATTGTTACTTTATGTTGATAAGATGATGTTTTTCTCCTAATTGTAATAAAGAATATTTTTGATATTTTGTTTTTTTCACACGACTTCCCACAAAATGTTTGTATGTATGAGTTTCTTATAGAAGACTTAACGGATATAAATGTATATTGAGGATATTGGAAACGTTTTAACATCTAGAATGACATTGGCTTAGAATATTCAATATGGCAGATGTATGACGCCATTTAAAAAAGCATGTTTGTTTTTTCTTTAATTATAGTAAAATGGGTATCAAATTAAAGTATATAATTTCAAAAATATAATTTATATACATAACACACTAAAAAGAATAAAATAAAAATGTGTTATTAAAAAATTGCAAAACACGATTGCCAAAATCGGAATAAAAATAATCGGGGGTGAGCTCTATGGAATATTTGCATTCTAACATGTTCCCCGACTGCAATGAGTTTTGCGTTTTTTTTATTTTTAGTTTTATGCCCGCGATCGTGGTCGTTAAGCAACTTTCGCAAAGGACGGTCACGGGATGGGTGACCGAGAAATTACTATCGCGAGCTATTCCGTGCTTTTTAGAAAGCTCGCTAAAGCTTTGGTCCTGGCTGCATTTACAGTCGTTAATACCTTCCGCATTGGGACAGCGTGGAGGGTCATGGCCTCCGGAACCATCCATAAGGAAGGCCTGAACCCAAGAGCTCCCTTTACGTCCCCATTATGATGAACACGATAAGTTTCTTTAGTTTTTAGTACGATTTTGGCAGTCGTGCTTTTAATTGTTTATTTTTAACCGTGGCCAGGGATTCTTTGGTGCGGTTCCATGATGTGAGAGTAGCGATAGTCTCCAGCTAGCCAACCGTAGTGACCCATAGATGATGCTACTTCCGAGAATCTAGCGAACTGCAGGTATCTGCCAATAAATATTAGAGATCACATACATTTCTCAGCAGCGACGTAGCATGCCTTAGCGGGGCCCCGTATAAAAATTTCAGGGCCCTTATGTTGGGTAAAGATTACTCACGAAAGAAAAATAAA